TAACAAATGCCATTGCCAGGAATACTGGGAGGCAAGGGAGAGAAAAGTTGGCTGATTTGTGGCCAGAAACAAAGAAGCAATTGGTCTCGGGGTGCAAGCAGGAGGCCAGGTTGCTGGGCCAAGCAGAGATGAGTGAGGCGCTCGGTCCAGCAAGTCAACAGGCATACTGCATGTCTGCCTTGTACAAAACTAGAAACTAGAAAACTTATTTTGGATGGAAATGGATCAGGAAAAAGGACAAAGAATGCCATGGCCTGACCTTGATCGTGAGTGGCCATGGGCGGTGCGTAGCCCAGGTCTCAGCCTTGGTCTGCCACGGGTGTGTCTGAGGCTCTGAGAAGTCACAGGTACCCCAGGCCTTGAACCACAAAGAAGGGATAGCAAGGTTTACATTGTTGGCCACTTCCTGGGAAGGTCACGAGGCTCAAACATGACCCCCCACACAGGTCAAGAGCTTGTAAAGCTGCAAGCACTCTTATATTACTGATTCGTTTTGTCTGGGGCACCACAGTGTGCCTGGGGAGTATTTTTCTTTTCTTTCTTTCCTTTTTTTTTTTGCATATGGAGTGGGGGAGGAGAAAGATGTTTCCTCTACAAATTCACCTTGATGAAGAGGTAGAATTAGGGAACTCTCACTGTTCTTGCCTTCTCTTTCCCTCACCCTCTCTCCGTCCTCTCTTTCCTGTCCCCATGCAAGATCTAACCTTCTGTAAGACTGCAGTTGTTCTCACATTGAAAGTTTTCCTAGAGTTGAATCACAATAACAAGCTGCCTTTGGGGGAACCCTCATTGTGGTTAAGCCACCACCTGTGACACTGGCATTTATATGTGACATATCAGTTTTGAGTCCTGGCTGCTCCATTTCCAATCCAGCTCACTGCTAATGCATCTGGGAAAGCAGTGGGGGATGGCCAAAGTCCTTAGGCCTCTGCCACACACCACGGGACACCTGGATGGAGTGTCTGGCTCTTGGCTCCCGCCTAGCCATTTAAGAAGTAAACCAGCAATGGGAGAGCCTCCCCAGCCCACTCTTTCTGTCTGCCTCCCTCTGTTAACTCTATCTGTGAAATAAATGAATACATCTTTCAAAAGAAAAAAGAAAGAAAGAAAGGCCAATGCTTTTTCCAAAGAGAATCTGCTCCACTTTGTAGCTGGGAGAACGTGGAGGCAGCAGACAGGGCAGCGCTGGGAGCTGACTGAGCTGGGGCAGAGCTGGGGCGGGGCAGGAGCAGTTTGCCCTCCCCTTGTGCTGTGAGCTGGATCCACCCCACCCCACCGCCCTGCGGAACAGGAATTGGACTCCCCCAGCCCCTGCCCCTACCCTGCCTCTGGTTACCAAGGATTAACAACCTTCCTAGCCTCTCACAATCATGCTACGTGGAAATCAAAGGGCTTTTTATTCTTTAATTATTGTTTCTAGATTTTTCTTGCAAAGTGTTCATTTTTCAGGTACGGGAATTTGTCAGCTAAAGCACTCATTCAGGGCAGTGGAGATTGGCCACGCATCCTTCTGATACTCAGTAACCGCCCTGGGAAGACCAGTGGAAAGGCTTTAGTCCTTGTTGATTGCTTTCATCCGGAGCTTTTCACCACTTTGTCACTTTGTATCTAGCATTCTGTCCTCTGGGGCAGACGTCTTCACTGCTGTCCCTGTCTGGGCTTGCCGTGGCCCCCAGCCTCCTAGCTGCCGCAGGTGGGGCTCGCACTGGGAGAGGAAAAATTCTGTGCTTGACAAAGACTTCCTGGTGTGTGTGTGTGTGTGTGTGTAGAGAAGTGTTACACTCCAGGGACAAAAGACTGCATATGATCACCATGGAAGATAACATTTTGCTTCTAGAGCGCTCCCCATCACGTGGAGATGCTAAAGCGAACACCACCCCAAACCGCCTTCAATGACATACGGATTGAACGATTTTCAAAAGGGGGAGAAGAAAGAATCCTCAGCAATGACTTGAAGAGTCCAGGCTGCTTTGTTGAGTCCTTTTTGTCAACCCGGGGGCCCGCGGGGACACTGCAGACAAAAGTTTCATTGTCTGCGAAGACCCCTGCTGCTTCCAGGGGCCTCAGCCCTGGGCCTCCTTGGAGCCTGAGGTGGAGGAGCCGGCCCCTTTTTGTCACAGAAAAGCCTTGGCTGCTGCCCTGCCCCCACCGGGTTCAGGTCCCAGACCCCAGGAAAGCCAGGCTGTTGCTAAAGACTCACTTGTCCATGGGGTGGCAGGGTAGGGGTGTGGAGGCTGGTGTGGTCACTGCCTTTCCTTCTGGAAGTTTTTCTGAAGCATCCAAATGTGACCTTTGCAGCCAAGGGCGACAGCTTCAGTGGCAGAATGCCTGGCCAGATTCCCACAATGAGACATCCCTCAAGTATGCAGCTCCATGCAGGTCCCAGCCGCCTGCAAGAGAGGTTGGCACCCAGGAGAACACTGGGCGGGGTGCCACGGACCCCTCAGCCAGGCCCCCAGGAGGCCCAGCTCCTGGTTCTGTGGTCCTGAAGAAGAACGTAGCCAGCATTATAGCTGGGACAAGAGCCAGAGGCGTGTTCTTTCTCTCTCTCTCTCTCTCTCTCTCTCTCAATCCCTTCCTTCATCCACATTCATCATATCAAAAGGCTTTTGTTGGGGGAGCGGCCGTGGCCTTTTGGTGTACGCCTGTGGTGTCACTGCTCTCAGTCTTTCCAAAGTTGGACTCAAAGCACATCATTAGTTGGAGTCCTGGGTGAACTAGTCTGAAAACAAGCTTGGGAGGAGTGGAGGTGAGCAGCTGTCCATGGCATTTGTTGTGTTTGTGAGGGATGCTGCCCAAGAGGACCAGCCTGACTGGCGAACGGTAAGAAGTCCTTGTAACCCATCCCTTGCCCCTTGCCGCATCCCAGCCAGGCTCTAGACAAGCTGGCTGCCAGGTGGGAAGGGATGTGCAGAATGGGCAGTAGCTTGGGTCGCGTGGGTGTTGTGGCTTGGATGCACGTCCTAGAGAATGCAGGAAGCCTCGGGGACGTCGCATAGGATTGCGGAGGGAAGAAAAAGGCTGGCATTGCATGACTGTCTGTCCTGTGACTTCCCGCCAGGCGAGACCACAATGGCAGTGAGGAGTTGTGGCCACTTGGGTCGTGAACCAGAGGATGGAAGCTCTTTCTGTCTCAAGCTTATGTCTATATCTGCCTTTCCAATAAACAGATAAATAGAATAAATCTTTGTAAATGTTCATTAAGAGAAGATATTAAAGAATGGGCTTGCCAGTGATGGTGCTGGCGGGTGGTAAAAGCATTTCTGCCAACGCTGTTCTGTATCCGTGGTGACCAAGCCCAAAACCATAGGTTCTGTCTAGTTTTTCCTAACCACTTTGTTGAGATAGAATTTGCACATGAATTTAAATGAATTCCCAATTTAAAGGATACCATTGATGTATAATTTTTAACTTTTAAAGTTATGACAGAAATATGCATATAACAAAACTTGGCATTTTAAACTGTTTTCTTTTTTTCCATGTACAGTTGAGTAGCATTAAATTGACAAGGTTGTTACAACCCTCACTTCTATTTTCAAAATGTTTTCATTATCCCACACAGAAACTGTACCTTTTAGACAATAACTTCTTTCTCTCTTCCCTGGCTCCCTGTAACCGCTGGCCCACTCTGTGAATACGCCTATTCTAGATATTTCATGTCAATGTAATCAGCCTCTATTTGCCTGTTCATGTCTGGGTTCTTCCAGTCAGCGCCATGTCTTCCGGGTTCATCCAGGTCTCATTAGCTGAACTTGGTCCTCTGTGTGGCCGCGTAGTATTCTGGGGGATGGATATACCCGCATTGGAACTAATCCTTCCAAGATGAGTGTTTGCATCGTCTCAGGTTCACCCATTGTGAATGACACTGTACTTGACGTTGACCTGAAGCGTCTGTGGGGGCAGGTTGCCTTCTGTCCCCACTGGCAGAGGAATTACTGGCTCACAGAGCACTTGTTTGGGGATGTTTAAAGAGCTGCTCCTGGATGGTTCCTGACTCTTCTCTTCCAGATGCCTGTCTCCTTTCAGCCCCTCTTACCTGTCCTGTCCCTCCACCTCTCCGTGCCCCAGCTTCATAGTCATGCGTCACCCTCCCACTTCCTGGAGGGAACTCCCACTTCTTTTTCGGTTGTCAGGTGGCAGACCATCCATCACTTCCGTGGTCCCACCCACCAGCCATCATCTCACTGTGGGGGGGAGGAATCTGGGAAGGTCCACCGGAGGCCCCAGCCCACTGTGGCCGCAGGGCGTGACCCTAGAATTTGTAAGTTGTTTAGCATCAGGGATGTGGAGAGCAAGTCCCCGTGGGATTTCGATCCCTCATCCCACACCCCGCTGTGCTTGTCGCCAGCCACTCTGCTGTCATTTGCTGCTGCGGCCTATGGGAGGGTTGTTCACCACGTTTCGTTTGCTCACGGTTTCTCCCATTTGCTCCAAGCAAAGTGCATTCATTAAGGAATGCCCCCCTCCCCTCCAGACCCGCAAGAACCTGCCTCAGACAGCCATTCTGGCTGCTGGGCTAATTGTTAGCTGGGCTTTCTGGATGTCATTCATTTCACAATAAGGCTTCTAATTAATCTCCGCGCAGTTCTCACCAGAAGAAAGGCTGCTGCGAAGAAACATCCCCAATTACCATGAAAAAGGAAATGTCAAGAGCCCCGATGATTTTTCTGGCATCCGCCCCTTGTCTGAGCTGAAAATCGCCATTAAGGCACCCAGGCTGCCCGGTGATCAAGCATGAAAACTTGAGGGGGTCGGTGAGAGAGAGAGGAGCTCTGGACCACACAGACCCAGCCGGGGGGGGGGGGGGGGAGGGGATCCTGCTGCCCTCACAACCCCCGGCTTAGGAGCACCGATTGTTTCCCAAGACTCGCTAGCCCCTTTGCACAGACAGCAGCGGAGGCGGCAGTGGCAGAGACACGCATTCCTCTGCTGCTCCAGCCGTGGGCAGGGCAGCTTTCGGATCAGCAAGCTCAAGGTCTTGTTTGCGTTTGTGCCTGCAGGACAAAAGATCCTTCATCACCGAAGTGATGTGTTAGAGACAGTCGTCCTGATCAACCCTTCCGATGAAGCCGTTAGCACTGAGGTAAGTTAGACGCCACCTGGGGAGGGCAAGACCTGGATGTGGGGATCAGCTTCCCTTAACCTGCCCCGGTCCATGGTCAGTTCTTGGCTGGGGTCTCAGCACCGCACAGGACCACCTCTCCCAGTGAGGAGGCTCCCAGCTAGCGCTGTGAGGTTTGGCTGGGGTCAGGGGCTGCGGAGTTTAGGTAGAAATGGGAGCATGTGCTGGGGTGGACTCAGCAGGGATGCAGCGGGGGAAACAGACCACATGTCCCCAGGCTGCAACTCGCGGGACCCAGAGCTGAAGGCTAATGGCTTCTCGGAGGTCTCCCTCTCCCGCTGCTGCTATTCAGAGGTGCCCTGCACCCCCTTCCTGTGGCTGGAAGGCAGGCAGGCCTAGTGGCCAGCATGAGAGACCACCTGAGTTCATAAGCCTGGCTCTGCCACTTGCTAGCTGGTGGCCTCAAGCGAGCAACTCATTGCCTGTCTTTGTCCTTGAACTGAGCTCATAACTTGCCTGTGCATTTAATGTTTGTATCTAACGCTGTGCTTAGCAGTCCCACAGTGTGCTTCAAAGAGTGGCATGTAATGACTGACATGTGTGTGATGGTCATTATCATTATTATTATTATTACCATATGAAGTTGTTGCTAAGAGGTATAATAGGATATCCCAGAGCCCGTGACCGTGCCGGAACTTGGCCAGAGGTGATGAGGCTCCATTTTCTGCTCCCTTTGTTACGGTGTGATGCCTTGCAGACTGAGCTGCTTCTGGAACGTGGGCGTCACCAGTTATCTTGCCATCTCCATTATCTGCAGCACCTTGCACCCCTGCTTTGAGAATTTCTATGTGCTATATTGTTGGAATTGTGGGGCAAATGAAATTAAAATGACGCCCTAAAATGCGCTTTCTTCAGCTGGCTTGTACATTTTGGGAGTGTTGTAAGACCGCCCCACCATTATGGAATGCCAGCACGTATCTGCGGTAATGCCAACCTGCCCAGGCCCCAGTAGTAGTCATCCCCATTCCATCTTACTGCTGGGAATCATTGACTTACTTCCCATTTGTGGATTTAGCTGTTCTTGACTCTCCCTCTAAAATGCAATCATGTAACCTGTGGCTTATCAGAGGCGGTCCATGTGGCAGCATGTATCAGCACAGCGTTCCTTTTTATGGCTGCATAATATTCCATTGTGTGGCCATGCCATACTGCTCGTGCAATGCTGCTATTCTGATGGCTGTGACACGGAGCCTGTGTGACCCACTTCTGCCTGCGTATGATCAGCAACACTCCCTTGACCCATTGATGGCAGGAGGTTGAGGGAGGTGAGGGGGATAGGAAACTCAATAACCAGTTCAAGAAGTAATTACAACTTGGAAAAAGCTGGAGGACTTGTGTCTGTCCAGGCAGACCACTGGCAACAGTTCTGAGAAAGGAAAATGGGGAAAAAGGAAAGTTTTTCTACAGATCCAGTCTGCCTGTAGAGCAGATGGGATTGAGGCGTTACTTATACACACGTGTTTTTCTAGGAGTATACCAGGGCTTCCTGGGTAAGGGGTTATGGCCAAGCATGATGCCTGGCACATACTATGCTCTGAGGAGCATTCATGAATCAGGCTGCGAACAAATACCTTGGTGCTGAAACGGGCATTTCTGCTGAAGGACAGCTGGATTCCTGCCACCCAGAGTTCACAGAGAGTTCTTTCGTGCAAACTATTTGCAATTCAATGTCAGAGGTTGCTATTGATGGGCAGCCCTTTCCTTTATGTCCAGGGTCAAGCACCTTGCTGATTGCACTGCCTGTGAAGCAGCTGTGCTGTCTGTGTGGCTCGCTAGGAGCCATGGGATCCTGGATAAGAGAGGCTGATTTGGGGATCCTGGCTGGGCCCCCTTGGGGGAAGCTGGGCTGTGTGTGGTGACTTAGTCTGGGAGATCATCCCCCCGCCTCCACCCGTTTCACAGACCACAGTCGGCCAGCAGACACTTCCCAACAGCTGTGGAACAAATGCTGGCCAGCTGTGAGTTCTGCTTTCAAACAGAACAGCAAACTAGGGGGAGAAAGTGCACTATTGCATTGATGTCTCAGTTGTAGCAAAACTGTGAACGTGGCGTTGGTGGGTGAACGGAGGCACTCACTCTTTGTAGATGATTCCTCCAGCCAGGGCTCTGTGCAGCCCCCCAGCCCTCACTCCCAGGGTGGGATTGCAAGTCTCAGAGAGCAAGCTGCTCTCATGGGTGACTAAGCCTCAGGGCCCCGAAGGCTCAGTGGTCCTGTTGGGATGGTGGGATGATGGTGCTATCCGGGGCTCACGGCTGGTGTGCTGTGGGATGGCAGTGGCGTGGCGGTGCTACCCGGGGCTCACAGCCGATGCTCTGTGCTTGATTTCAGGTGCGCTTGCTGATCACTGACGCCGCCCGACACAAGCTGCTCGTGCTGACCGGGCAGTGCTTTGAGAACACCGGAGAGCTTATTCTCCAGTCCGGCTCTTTCTCCTTCCAGAACTTCATAGAGATTTTCACAGATCAAGAGGTGGGTTCCTGTGGGGGAGTGTCTGAGTTTGCAGGGATGAGCTCATTGTCATAGCTTTGAGGCCATTCTTTGAAAGCACTAGGGGAGATGGAAGAAGGGGAGGGCATGCTACAGCTCTTTTGAAATCAGCAAAACCATGGGATTCAAAAGACTTTCCGTCCTGTGGCTCCGCGCCAGAAGCGTTTAGAGCAGTCGTCTGAAATGGACTGGGGCCACTCTGCATGTACCAAAGCTCTAGATGGGCTGGAGGCTGGGGGCTTGGGGGTAAGTGGAACAGTCAACACTTACAGATGTCAAAAGTAATCAAGAAGACTTGAAATTACAGAGCGCCAAAGAAAACTCTGGTTTCCTGTCTTCTCAAGAAATACTTCCAAAACCTCTAGGGCTTTTGCTGGGATTTAACTGCCTTACATCTCTTTTCAGAACTTGTACCAACGTTGAGGATCTATTTCTGCTCTGTTATACTGTTAATACTTGACCACAGGGTTGGAACTTGGGTTTGAACACTCGGAAGGAGTGAGAGGTCTAGCTAAGGAGACACATAGGGAAGTGGGGCACAAACACTGGAATTGGATCCTTAAGTATTTCCACTGCCTATCTCTTAGTCAAGAATGTAAAATGATTGAAACTAGATTAAACCAGGGATTTTTTTTTTTTATAAAAACCTGATCAAAGATTTTATTGATTTCTGCTTGAGCATTGATCCTAGCTGGAACAATTTCCCAAATGATGTCCCTCCCCCCATTTTTTATGAAGCTCTTTTATCAGTAGCACTTCCAGAAGCAATTTAGGGCCCTCTGCGTGGCATGCTGGGATTTACCTAGAGCTGCTGGCAGATTTCTTGCTTTTTTTGTTTTTTTGGTGGGGTGGGGTGTAAGATTTATTTGAAAGGCAGAGTTACAGAGATGGGAGAGAAAGATGGACAGAAACACGCACACGTCTAGAGGTCTGGGGTGGTCCTCCACCCGCTGGTTAACTCCTCAAATATCAGCAGCAGTTACACTGGGCTAGGCTGAAGCCCGAAGTCTGGAACTCCATTGGAGTCTTCCACGTGGGCACAGGGGCCCAGTGACTGGAAGCCTTTTTCTGCTACTTTGTCAGGTGGATTAGCAAGGAGCTAGATCAGCAAGGGAGCACCTGGGACAAGAACTGGGATCCATATGGAATGCTGACATTAACCAGCATACCACCAGCACACCACAGTGCCAGTTACTCTATGGTTTATTTGAAAGACAGTGTGACAGAGAGAGAGAGAGAGACTTTTCATCTGCTAGTTCATTCACCCAAATAGTGGCAATGTTCAAGGCAGGAATAGGCTACAACCAGAGCCAGCTCTCCCACCTGGGTGTGCAGAGGCCCAAATATTGGCCCATCATCTGCTTCCCCAGGCACATGAGCAGGAAGCCCAGTCAAGAGTGGAGCAGTCGTAGCTCTAGCTCTTTCATCTTGGTATCCATTGTACTGACACATAGTAAAGCTGTTAGGCCACAGCGTTCAATTGTATTGACATCCCCAAGCTAGAGCTACAATTCTGTCTCCTGCCCTGAAATTGGTGTATGTGATCACTAAAAGGTCAGGACTGTGTCCCTAAATGGGCATCTGGTAGCTCAGAGGTCACATGCCCTATTAGTACCTTTCCTTGGGGAGCTATGAAGGCCTAGAAGTGGCTCTGGGACATGGTGGGCAGTTCGGTGATTTGCTTTTAGCTCAGGTCAGCCCTGAAGCCCTGACTTGGTTTATACACACATAGGTACTTTTCTGCATGCCTGTATAACTTCTAGAATCAGTTGCTAATGATTGTTTCCCTCTACTATCATTGGTTTATCATTTTTGGCCATAAAACCCAAAGAAAATGCATAGTATTTGTCATTGCCAAGATTTTAAATCTGGAGTTATCACAGTTCATCCATCTAGATGAGCAAGAGTGTTAGAAATATTGCTGCCTCAATCATTTTTCAAGACCACAAAGGCAGAGCTGTCGCACGATGGATTGTGCATGTGCCAGATTTTTCATTGATTGCAGATGACAAAGAAGCAGCGTAGCATGTGGTGTTTGAGTTCTATTCAAGGGCGGATTCCCTAGGCTCTGTAATCACTGCTGTTGCTGTCTGAAGGACACACATCTCCGTTGAACTTAGGCAGGACTGTGGAGGCCAGAGACTATGTCATTCTCTCCTCTGTGTGTTCCCGTGACCTCCTATTGTGACACTCTGGAGGAAGTGGTGCTCACCAAATGGGAAAACATTTTCTTTAACATGTTTGATCCATGGTGATGGGGAGGTGGGAGGAGAGGAAAGGGGGAGGATGTCACATAGCATTCACTCTTCCTCCTGCCCTGACCACAGAAAACCATCAGGGATGCTAACAAAAGGATGCCACAGTGGACTGAAGATTGCTGGGCTAGACCAATGGTATCAGCCTTTGGAGTCAGTGCTGCCTGTTGTTGTCTTGTAAAATGAGTTCAGGATATAATGACTCAGTGACAGAGGGTCTTTAATTGTAATTTGGGTCCAGCTCTGCCTTTTTGATCAAGTCCTATAAACATACTACGCAACACCAGAGAAACCAGAGACCCAATTTTGTAAAAACATAATTTTTTTTTTACAAGAATAGCTAGAAACAAATAGGCTGTAAAAAATAAAACTGTCAGCATGCTTTGAACTTCAGAGTTGTGGAGAATTAATCACCAGAGGTCAATTACAAAACCAGAACTTAGCAAGACAGAGCTGCCATGTGGCTCACCCCTCTCCCAGCCATGGTGAAGTCATTGTCTCTCAGCGTCCCTGTTGGAAACTTCCCCCTTATTTGTGTCCTGGTTTCTTCAAGGGAAGGAATGCGATCCCTTCCCTCACCCCACCCCAGGGTCTTCCATAGTCCTCAGCACCACTGCCAATCTCTCCCATCCAGAAGACTATTTATCTTCACCCACAGTTATCCATAAAATACGACAAGTTCTTTTAGCTTCCCTGGTCCTTATCCTCCCAGAAACGGAGATTGAACAGGTTGCGGGCAGAATACAAGAGCTCAGTCCTGGGCACGTGTTCATGCCTTGATGTTTTCAGATGGTCAAAGTACGGTGAGTCCAGAGCTCAGGCAGCTCAGAGTTGATGGATGTTAGTTTGGAATCCAGGATCATATGAGAGGTATGTTAAGCATGGTAGATGAGAACATCATCAAAGGGAAATGAACCCAGACGAGAAAGGGTCCCACGTTTAGCATTTAGAGATTGAGCACAAGGAAGGAGGTGTGTTTCCATTTGGTTTCAGTTTCGTTTTGTTTAATATCATGTCTCAACCTGGACACCATCTCCCTGGACTCATTTTACCAAGTGAGGGTTGGGGGCATCAGTGATTGCCACAGTTTGCATCCAATACAGTCTTCTGTTAAATAAATCTAAAAGTAATTCTTGACTTAATGCACAAGTCAATGTCAACAGGAATGCAGGCTTTGAGGAGCACTGCCTTTTATGTTGTTTTAGAGCTCCTGTTAAGAAGAAAACACAATTATCAATACACAATTAAGTAGCCAGCTTTGATAGGGGACCATACGAGTGAGGAGCCTTGAAGTTTAAGCTGGTTTAGCGTCATGATAAATCCATTCCAGTGTCAGCTAAAATCCCCAAGTCGTTTCTGTTTCGTGCATGGAGCTGTTAGTCACATGTCCCAATCCTGTACTTTACGCTGCTGGTTTACTGCACCTTACACTTATCCCTTTAGAATGCCATCCTGTAAGACTTAACTATCATCAGCCAGTGTCAAGAGCTTCTTACAAATATACTAATTCAGCCACCCCATGCTTTGTAAGCCTCTCACTTTTATGTTTTTACCACCTCCATCCAAGTGAATGGATCTGAAATGGGTCTGCCAGCAGCCCAGTAGCCCTCCTCCAGGCTGACACAAAGCATCACTATTTACATGGTGGTCTTAAAAATCTATTTAATTCTGCTCTCCTTTGCCTCAAAGATTCTGTTGAGCATCTTGCTAAAGCCTAGCGATACCACGTCTACTGTATTTCCGCATCCGCTGGGCAAAGTAACCTAATCAAAGAAGGAAATGTGGTTAGTGGGCTGTGGTTTAGAAATTCAAATCTTGTTTCATGAATGTCATTTGCAGTAAAGCCATTTAGTCCCTCTATCTTCCTTCCTCTTCCCGACATGCCTGCACTTAATCAGGGAAGGTAATTAACAAAAAAGATGATCTCCGCCCGAAGCCATCTTTCTTCTAGTCATGTCTGTCAGCCATCTTTGTGCGAAGCAGAGCAGCAGTCGGTGTGTTTGACGAGTCCCAGCAGGCCCATGCACGTCCCAAGGGCCCTGTCCAGGAAAGACAGTGAGCGCTGGAAATGGCCTTGTATGGTGCATTGCATTCAACATGTATGGAGCCTGACTGTGAAAGAGGGGATGTTTCTTCAAGAGTCACGGAAAATGCAGAGTTCAGTAAGACAAAGCGTAGATTTCAAAATTTTGCAGCAAAGTAAATGTGTTACTTAATTCCATTTTTCATAGTCTTTATGAAGCTTTCAGGAAACAAAGATAACTAAGATACAAAAAAACAGATGTCTCCTGCTACTCCGAAACGTTTCGTGTATTTACTCTGATGATGGATATTCCCCAGGTCCAAGTCTTACTTCCAAGCTGCGAGCTTCCTGGCCGCTGATGTCATCGCTGCATCCTCCTCACTGGTGTCTTCCATTCATTGCAGAAGCACTGAGTGGCTGTCACCGTGAGCTGGGCACTCTTGAGACAGCTCTTTCCACTGAGGCACTCACTTTATGCTGTGCAGCTCCAAGGCTGCTTTGCTTCCCTCCTTCCCCCAGGACCGCTATCCCCTTACCCACACCACATGCAGTGCTCCTCTGGGGGAGATGGGGGCAGACTTTTTCCTCTTGGAAAAGAAACTCATCCATCAGCACAGACTTCTGCTTTGCCTTAAACATTGTGGTTTTTCCATCCCTGCTCCCCGCCCCACCCCCCGTTTGCTTTTTCCCCTCCATGGCTTCGGACTTCCTTAGAACTCTGTGTAATCTTGCTTTTACTTTATATCATTTCCTGCATTTTATAGAAACTGATGTACACTGGTAGGAGGATGGACCGCAGGGAGATATTCTTATGTCGTCTCACATTTGGGCTCTGTGACTTCACACCTCTAGTAAAAAAGCTGGTGATCTGGGAAGGTGTTTTGGTGCAGAGGGTTAAGCTGCTGCTTCTGGTATTTGCATTCTGTTGTTTTATGTAATCACCTGGGACTGATTTCTGACCCACATGCGATAGTTTCCTGCTAATGTCAACCCTAAGAGGCAGCAGGTAGTGGCTCAGGTACTTGGGTCCTGCAGCACACTAGAGACCGCAATGGAATTCTGGGCTTCTGGCTTCAGTCTGGTTCAGCCCTGGCTGTTGGGGCATTTGGGAGTAACATAATGGATAGGTGATCACTCCCACATCTTTCTAAATAATCTAGATAAGAATCTTTTTTAAAAATTGTATTCATTTTGATTGGAAAATCAGATTTACAGAGAGAAGGAGAAACAGAAAGAAAGATATTCTGTCTACTGATTTACTCCCCAAGTGGCTGCAATGGCTGGAGGTGAGTCCATCTGAAGCCAGCAGCCAGGAGCTTCTTCTGCGCCCCCCCACCCAGGTACAAGGCACCAAAGCTTTGAGCCATCCTCCTCTGCTTTCCCAGGCCACAAGCAGGGAACTGGATGGGAAGTAGAGCAGCCGGGACACAAACCAACACCCATATGGTATCCCAGTGCATGTAAGGCAAGGATTTAGCCACTGTGCCATTGCACCAGGCCCAAGATAATAAGCTTAAAACAAAACAAAACAAAATAAAGCAAGAACTAGCTATTGAATATTTTTGCACAACTGAGTTTTGCCCTTGACTCCCTTTCCCCCAACCACCAATATCTCAGCTAGGTACAATTTCAAAATAATGTAATTTTAAAAAATTCATTCTAAAGGGCAGGCATTGGTGCTATGGGTAAGGTGTTTTTCAATGTACCTGCAACCACATCGAAGTGCCTGGATTCTAAGCCTGCTCCTGTCTTTCTTTCGTGCCCTGCTAATGTACTCACTGAGGGGCACTGGTCATTGCCCAAGTACTTGATCCCTGCCACCCATTTGCAGACCAAGACTTGAGTTCACTGCTCCCAGTTTCGACCCATGGCTGCTGTGGACATTTGGAAAATGAACGGGTAGATAGGAAATTTCTATTTGTTTTTAAAATTAAGAAATAAATAAATAAATAAATAAATAAATAAATAAATAAATAAATAACACGTATCTATGAACAGTTTTGAGTTACCCTGGGTTTAACCCTAAGAATGTATTAGCAAACATGAAGAATGGTGTTGTGCGTGAAGATTAGGATCTAAAGGATTCTTATTTGGTGCTCATGTTTACTTTGGTCAAGAAATGATTGAAGCAAAGATTCCGCCCCACTCCCCCCCCACCCCCATGATGGGAACCTTTTCTGTCTTCATAGTTTCCAGAATAGGCATTGGATTCCATGATTTTTACAGGAGCACCTAAAGTTAAGAAAGAAGACATTAACAATGTTTTGCCATTTTGCTGTTTTGTAACTCTTCACTAAGATATTTCACTTAAAATGAATAGGCTAGCAACAAAATGGACTGTCTTACTGCAATCTAACAGATCGTGTGTGTGTGTGTGTGTGTGTGTGTCGGGGGAGAGAGTGAGGGTAAGGATAATTCAGATTGTGTAAATTATCCTTAATCTCCCCAACACACACACACACACACACACACAAACACACACACACTTTAGAGTGGCCTCTGAATATTAATGTTCTGATGGCGATACAGTGGAGACCACTCTGATCCTAGAAGGCTACATTGCAGAGCTGATGGGTGGTGAGGATTGCATGAAAGGAAACCTTGTACCTTTCCCCTCCCTCACTGCCCCTCCAGGACCTAGAGAACTGTGGGCTGACCCATTGAGTTGACTTACCAACCTTGCTGAAACAGCAAGAGGGCTGGGACTCATCGCATGATTCTGCCTTATAGTTTGCTAAACTAAAACCATCTGGCCTTAATCTGGAGTGAAAAGGCAAGCAGCGTTTTCCTTAAACCACAATCACCGTTTTGATCCCAGTTTGCTTTTCCACATCCCCATACTTTGGAACTACTTAGCAATGTACTCAAAAGCAGCTGAGCTAATTATGGGCTTAGCCACTCACGCCTGCCCATTCGACCATGAGAAGAATGGGAGGGCAGGCCTTCAGGGCCATGCTGAAGATTACCACTTGGGACAACTGCATCCCATATGGAGGCTCTGGGTTAGGGACCTGGCTCCGCTCCAGATTCCAGCTTCCTGCTAATGTGCACTTTGGGAGACAGCAGCAGTGGCTCAATTAGTTGGATACCTGCCATCCACATGAGAGATCTGGACTGAGTTCCCAGCTCCTGGCTTGGACCTGGTCCATCCTTGGCCATGCGGGCATCGGGAAAGTAAACCAACGGAAAGAAGGTTCCTGTAGGTCCATCTGTCTGTTTGCCTTTTAAATAATTATTTTCTAATTTCAAAAAAGTAAAGAATGAGTGCAGAAAGCAAGCAGAGTGTCTCATCCTGGACTTTAGCATGAACTAGGGCAGACATCTGGGGAACCTGCTTCCCATATTGGATTGCTAGTAAGAATTTAGTCATGGCTATTTAGTTTTAAAAGTTTTTGTATTTTTGTTTGCAAGGCAAAGAAATAGAGAGCAAATGGGGAATCAAATCTGGCCATTGGCTTATATAATTGGCCAGCTAGTTTAATCATCACACAATAATCATAAAAGCATTTATTTATCCACTGGGTAAACCACTCATATTTCAGGTAGTAGGGACTTATACCAAAAATGAGTAAATTTTTGTAGTAATAGTCAATGCCTTCCTGCCTCCCATGCAGGGACAGTCTACCAAAAAAAATTTTTTTTGGTGCCTATCAGTTTCTGAAAAGAGATATAAAATATGTTATCTAAATTTCTTTAATGTGCACATCACTTGCTTACCATTTGCCAAGCTAAGTGGATTAAAAGAAACAGTCTTGTGTCAGTGATTAAATGACTCACACAGCTTTTTCCTGGGCTGGTTCAGTGTCTTTTAAAGGGCATCCTGGCATGATGTGTCTTTGCAAGAGTACCCAGAGTAGTTCATAGCCCCAGTGAGCCATGCACTGATTGTCCGGTTGCCACTGGTCTTCTAACTGGAGCCGAGTTCTGGAGTGGCTGGAGGTCACAGGGAATGGGGCAGAAGGACCTGGGGATGCTGGGGACACAGGCTGTACCCCTTCTGACATGCAGGTATTTTAGAACTCAGACAAAAAGTACTGTTCTGTCGCCAAGCAGCCTGTGGTCCTGTGTCAGCAACTTTAGGTGGTATGATGGGATGGTGATAGTCACCTAAACCCCTTCTTCCTTTCTTTTCTTTTGTTAAAATCCAGATTGGGGAGTTACTGAGCACTACCCATCCTGCCAACAAAGCCAGCTTAACCCTGTTCTGTCCCGAAGAAGGGGACTGGAAGAATTCCAATCTTGACAGACATAATCTGCAAGACTTCATCAACATCAAGCTCAACTCAGCTTCTATACTGCCAGAAATGGAAGGACTCTCTGAGTTTACCGAGTATCTCTCAGAATCAGTGGAAGTCCTGTCCCCTTTTGACATCCTAGAGCCTCCCACGTCGGGAGGATTTCTGAAGCTCTCCAAGCCCTGCTGTTACATCTTCCCAGGAGGGAGAGGTGACTCCGCCTTGTTTGCGGTCAACGGATTCAACATGCTCATCAATGGCGGCTCCGAGAGAAAGTCATGTTTCTGGAAACTCATCCGACACCTGGACCGAGTGGACTCCATCCTGCTCACACACATTGGCGATGACAACCTGCCGGGCATCAACAGCATGCTGCAGCGCAAGATTGCAGAACTTGAGGAGGAGCAGTCACAGGGCTCGACCACAAACAGTGACTGGATGAAAAATCTCATCTCCCCTGACTTGGGCGTTGTGTTTCTCAACGTCCCGGAAAATCTGAAAAACCCAGAGCCCAACATCAAGATGAAGAGAAGCCTGGAGGAAGCCTGCTTCACTCTCCAGTACCTGAACAAGCTCTCTATGAAGCCAGAGCCTCTGTTTCGAAATGTAGGCAACACCATTGATCCTGTCATTCTTTTCCAAAAAATGGGAGTGGGTAAACTTGAGATGTATGTGCTTAACCCAGTCAAGAGCAGCAAAGAAATGCAGTATTTTATGCAGCAGTGGACTGGCACCAGCAAAGATAAGGCTGAACTCATCCTGCCTAATGGCCAGGAAGTAGATATCCCGATTCCCTATTTAACTTCAGTCTCATCGTTGATCGTGTGGCATCCGGCAAACCCTGCTGAGAAAATCATCCGCGTCCTGTTTCCTGGCAACAGCACCCAATACAACATCCTGGAAGGACTGGAAAAACTCAAACATTTAGACTTCCTGAAGCAGCCGCTGGCCACCCAAAAGGATCTGACTGGCCAGGTGCCCGCTCCCGCAGTCAAACAGGTCAAACTGAAGCAGAGGGCCGACAGCAAAGAAAACCTGAAGCCAGCCGCCAAACCGGTGCCCAGCAAACCCGTGCGAAAGGAATCAAAGGAAGAAGCCCCCGATGTCACCAAAGCTAATCAGGTGGAAAAGCCAGCCAAGGTGGAGAGCAAAGAAAAGGCGCCGGTCAAGAAGGACAAGCCCCTCAAAGCAGAGGCTAAAACAACCGTGGCGGAAAAGGAGGCGCCCAGCAAGGACGAGCAGCCTCCCGCGAAAGCCGACGTGGCGGAAAAGCAAACCACAGACGTCAAACCCAAGGTCTCCAAAGAGAAGACGGTGAAGAAGGAGGTGAAGGCGAAATCTGACGAGAAGAAAGAGGAGAAGGAAAAAACCAAGAAGGAGGTGGTGAAGAAGGAGGACAAGACCCCCGTCAAGAAAGAGGAGAAACCGAAAAAGGAAGAGGCGAAGAAGGAAGTCAAAAAAGAAATCAAGAAGGAAGAGAAGAAAGAACCCAAGAAAGAGGTTAAGAAGGAAACGCCCCTGAAGGAAGCCAAGAAGGAAGTGAAGAAGGAAGAAAAGAAGGAGATGAAAAAGGAAGAGAAAGAACCTAAAAAAGACATCAAGAAGCTCACTAAAGACACAAAGAAACCATCCACCCCTCTGTCTGATGCGAAAAAACCTGCCACGTTGAAACCCAAAGTAGCTGCCAAGAAGGAGGAACCGGCCAAGAAAGACACCGTGGCTGCGGGCAAGCCGAAGGAGAAGGGCAAGATCAAAGTGGTTAAGAAGGAAAGCAAGCCCACCGAGGTGGCTGCCGCCGCCGCCACAGCAGCCGCCACAGCAGCCGCCATGGCCGCCGTGGCCGCGGCAGGGACGGCTGCTCCCAGTCCCGGCAAGGAGCTCGAGGCCGAGCGCTCGCTCATGTCATCCCCCGAGGACCTCACCAAGGACTTCGAGGAATTAAAAGCCGAAGAGGTGGACGTGGCCAAGGGCATCAAGCCTCAGCTGGAGCTGATGGAAGACGAAGAGAAACTCAAGGCGACCGAGGCGGGCGAAGCTTACGTCATCCAGAAAGAGACGGAAGTCCTCAAAGGCCCTGCCGAGTCCCCGGATGAGGGCATCACGACCACCGAAGGGGAGGGCGAGTGCGAGCAGACGCCCGAGGAGCTGGAGCCCGTGGAGAAGCAAGGGGTGGAGGACACGGAGAAATACGAAGACGAAGGGGCTGGCTTTGAGGAGTCCTCGGAGGCCGGAGACTACGAAGAGAAGGCTGAGACCGAGGAAGCCGAGGAGCCGGAAGAGGATGCTGAGGAGAGCATGGGCATGGGCGCCCCCAAGCATGGCGCTGCCGAGGACGAGGAGGTGGCTAAGGCCGAGGCGGATGTACACATCAAGGAGAAGAGGGAGTCGGTGGCCAGCGCCGATGACAGAGCGGAAGAAGACATGGACGAAGCAATTGAAAAAGAAGAGGCCGAACAATCCGAGGAGGAGGGCGATGAGGAGGACAAAGCTGAGGACGCCAGGGAGGAGGACTATGAGCCTGAGAAAGCAGAAGCTGAAGACTACGTGATGGCCGTGGTTGACAAGGCCGCAGAGACCAGAGGTGCGGAAGACCAGTATGGCTTCCTCACGGCTTCAGTCAAGCAGCCTGGGGCCCAGTCTCCCAGCAGAGAGCCTGCCTCTTCCATTCATGATGAGACACTACCTGGAGGCTCCGAGAGCGAAGCCACGGCCTCTGATGAGGACAATCGAGAGGACCAACCTGAGGAATTCACTGCCACCTCGGGCTACACTCAGTCTACCATTGAGATCTCCAGCGAGCCCACCCCCATGGATGAGATGTCCACTCCTCGCGATGTAATGAGTGATGAGACCAATAACGAAGAAACAGAGTCCCCATCACAGGAATTTGTAAACATCACCAAATATGAATCTGCCTTGTATTCCCAGGAATACGCCAAGCCTGCTGTGACATCACTCAATGGACTGTCGGATGGGTCAAAAACAGATGCCACTGATGGCAAAGACTACAACGCCTCAGCATCCACCATCTCTCCACCCTCCTCCATGGAGGAAGACAAATTCAGCAGATCCGCTCTGCGTGATGCCTACTACTTAGAAGAGAAAGAAGCAAAAGCCAGTGCCACGCTGGAGGTCAAAGAGACCTTCTCCACAGTTTCTGAGGAAAAACTCAGCCCGCCGAAGAGCCCATCCCAGAGCCCATCTCCGCAGTCTCCTGTAGAGAAGACGCCCCTGGGGGAACGTAGCGTCAACTTCTCTCTGACACCCAATGAAATTCAAGTCTCTACAGAGGCAGAAGTAGCCCCGGTGTCTCCTGAGGTACCACAGGAAGTAGTTGAGGAACGCTGTGCTAGTCCCGAGGAGAAGACTCTGGAAGTGGTGTCCCCTTCTCAGTCTGTGACTGGCAGTGCAGGCCACACACCTTACTACCAATCTCCCACCGAAGAGAAATCAAGTCACCTGCCTACAGAGGTCATTGAGAAGCCACCAGCTGTCCCCGTGAGATTCGAATTCAGTGATGCCAAAGATGAGAGTGACAGAGCCTCCGTGAGCCCCATGGATGAGCCTGTGCCTGACTCTGAGTCTCCCCTTGAGAAGGTCTTGTCACCTCTGCGTAGTCCTCCCCTGTTGGGATCCGAGTCTGCCTATGACAGTTTCCTGAGTGTTGATGACAAGGCTCCGAGCAGAAGTAGTGAAAGTCCATTTGAAGGAAAGGATGGCAAGCAAGAACTCCCAGACCAGATGTCTCCAGTCTCTGACATGGCATCCACGAGTCTTTACCCAGATAGAGAGGAAGGGAAGAGCATGGACTTTATACCGATAAAGGAAGATTTCGATCAAGACAAGAAGACTGACGATGTTGAGTCTGTGAGTTCCCAACCAGCACTAGCTTTGGATGAAAGAAAATTAGGAGATGTTTCTCCAACACAGGTAGATGTCAGTCAGTTTGGGTCTTTTAAAGAAGACACTAAGATGTCCATCTCTGAGGGCACTGTCTCAGACAAGTCAGCCACACCTGTGGACGAGGGTGTAGCAGAAGACACCTACTCGCATATGGAAGGGGTGGCCTCAGTCTCCACGGCCTCTGTGGCTACAAGCTCATTCCCAGAGCCAACCACAGATGACGTGTCTCCTTCTCTGCATGCCGAGGTGGGCTCCCCACACTCCACAGAAGTCGATGATTCCCTTTCAGTGTCTGTTGTGCAAACACCTACCACGTTCCAGGAAACAGAAATGTCTCCATCAAAAGAAGAATGCCCAAGACCAATGTCAATTTCTCCACCAGATTTCTCCCCTAAAACAGCCAAATCCAGGACACCGGTCCAGGATCACAGATCGGAACAGTCTTCCATGTCTATTGAATTTGGCCAAGAATCACCTGAGCATTCCCTTGCTATGGACTTCAGTAGGCAGTCTCCAGATCAGTCTGCAGTGGGAGCAGGTGTGCTCCACATCACAGAAAATGGGCCGACAGAGGTGGACTATAGTCCTTCTGACATGCAGGACTCCAGTTTGTCACATAAGATACCACCCATGGAGGAGCCATCCTTCACGCAAGATAATGATCTCTCAGAACTCATCTCAGTGTCTCAGGTGGAGGCCTCCCCGTCCACCTCTTCTGCTCATACCCCTTCTCAGATAGCTTCTCCTCTTCAAGAAGATACTCTGTCTGACGTTGCTGCTCCCCGAGATATGGCCTTGTATGCCTCTCTGACCTCTGAAAAAGTGCAAAGTCTGGAAGGAGAGAAGCTCTCTCCTAAATCTGATATCTCTCCACTCACTCCACGGGAGTCCTCTCCTTTATATTCTCCTGGTTTTTCAGATTCTACCTCTGCAGTCAAAGAGAGCATGGCAGCTTGCCCCACTTCTTCCTCCCCACCCACAGGTGCAGGCTCTGCAGAGCCCTATGGTTTCCGTGCCTCGATGTTATTCGATACAATGCAACACCACCTAGCCTTGAGTAGAGATTTGACAACCTCTGGTGTGGAGAAGGACAGTGGAGGGAGGACACCTGGAGACTTCAGCTACGCCTATCAAACACCTGAGAAAGCAACCAGGTCCCCAGATGAAGAAGATTACGACTATGAGTCTTATGAGAAAACAACACGGGCACCAGATATGGACAGCTATTACTATGAAAAGACAGAGCGAACCATCAAATCCCCATGTGATGGTGGCTACTCCTACGAGACCGTTGAGAAAACTACCAAGAGCCCCGAGGATGGCGGCTCCGCCTGTGAAATCACTGAGAAGACCACCCGGACACCTGCAGAGGATGGGTATTCATACGAGATGAGTGAGAAGACAACAAGGACCCCTGCAGTGAGTGGCTACAGCTATGAGAAGACTGAGAGATCTCGAAGGCTCCTGGATGACATCAGCAATGGCTATGATGACTCTGACGATGGCAGCCACACATTGGGAGACTCCAGCTACTCTTATGAGACCACTGAGAAAATCTCCAGTTTCCCTGAGTCTGAAAGTTACTCCTACGAGACATCTACAAAAACCACACACACCCCTGATACTTCCACATACTGCTATGAGACTTCAGAGAAAATCACCAAAACCCCGCAGGGCTCTACTTACTCCTATGAGACCTCAGACCGATGCTACGCTGCAGAGAAGTCGCCCTCAGAAGCCCGCCAGGAGGTTGACCTATGTCTCGTGTCCTCCTGTGAGTACAAACATCCTAAGACAGAGCTCTCACCCTCCTTCATTAATCCCAATCCACTAGAGTGGTTTGCCAGTGAGGATCCCACCGATGACACCGAAAAGCCCCTCACCCAATTAGGGGGTGCTCCACCTCCCCCGGGAGGAAAGGTTCAGGGGCGCCAGTGTGATGAGACCCCTCCCACCTCTGTCAGCGAGTCAGCCCCATCTCAGACCGACTCTGATGTGCCTCCAGAGACGGAAGAGTGCCCCTCCATCACAGCAGATGCAAATATCGACTCTGAGGATGAGTCAGAGACCATCCCCACAGACAAAACCGTCACGTACAAGCACATGGATCCCCCTCCAGCCCCCGTGCAAGACCGCAGCCCTTCTCCACGCCACCCTGATGTGTCCATGGTTGACCCTGAGGCCTTGGCCATTGAGCAGAACCTAGGCAAAGCTCTGAAGAAAGACTTGAAGGAGAAGACCAAAACCAAGAAGCCAGGGACGAAGACCAAGTCATCTTCACCAGTCAAGAAGAGCGATGGGAAATCCAAGCCAGCAGCAGCTTCACCAAAACCAGCCACCTTGAAAGAATCCTCAGACAAGGTATCCCGAGTGGCTTCCCCCAAGAAGAAAGAATCTGTGGAGAAAGTGCCGAAAACCAGCACCACTCCTGAGGTCAAAGCTGCACGTGGAGACGAGAAAGATAAGGAGACCAAGAATGCCGCCAATGTCTCTGCATCCAAATCAACCAAGACGGCAACTGCAGGTACGTTGAAGATGCCAGGCCTCCCGAGAGAGGCCACAGCACCAAAAAGCCCCTCTCTCTGGAGCCTTTAGATGAGGGTTCTTGAAAAGCTCATGGAAAGTGCATACTATGAGAAAGAAATACAACTGAGCACGGATTTCAAACTTTCCAATTTCTCTTTTAATTTCGTTTTTTTCCACAACATTTTTTTTTTACATAGTTTCATCTTGCTTTTCTTGGGCTTCTCTCCTGCTCAGTGTGGTCCTTGGGCTTGAAGGGTTAGCTTGGCACAGGGCCCAGAGTAGCCAGGACTGCTTGGAGGGGATTTCTGGGTTTGTACCATGCTGTCACATAGAAACCACCACCCTGAAGTCATAGTACCAAGGCTGTGTGCATCAAGCCGTGTTGTGCTGCAGCTCTGCAGAATTAAGCCTCAGAGACACACACCAGGAGCTCCCAAATGCCATGGGAAAAATGAGAGGCTCCACCATGCTTGCAATAACCAGTCTAGGCCGAGATGTAGAATCCGCCCCCTTTAAAAAAAAAAAAAAAAAAAAAAAAAGCAGGGCCCGGCGCGGTGGCGCAAGTGGTTAGGGTCCTCGCTTCGCATGCCCGGGATCCCATATGGGCGTCGGTTCTATCTCGGCAGCCCCGCTTCCCTTCCAGCTCCCTGCCTGTGACCCGGGAAAGCAGTCGAGGACGGCCCAAAGGGAAGATCTTCCTCTCTGTCTCTCCTCTCTGTATATCCGCCTTTAAAAATAATAATAATAATAATAATAAAAAGCATTTTGTTTAAGCAGTTATCATTACAGGCAGTGTTCTGTTTTCTTAACCAGTGAGTCCCATCATTTCCGTTGATTAGTGAATACTCAGAACTTATTGAAAGGAAAACCCAAGGTTTTTCTATGGCCACCTTCCTATCTGACAACCTAGCAAGAGGCTCACAATGCCCTTTCGGTTTGAAACCTGCTAGAGCAAGGCTGACATGCCTGACTTTCGATCATTCCGGGTTTGGTCCTGGTACTCCTGTGTATGTACCAGGTTCTCAGCAGTGATGAGTCTGACTCTCCGACAGCTCGGCTTCACTCTGTTGCTTTAAAGTTACCTGCAAGGATCCACATGCTGCCTTTCATTGACTTGATATGATTGCCCAGGGGTTTTGGATGACAGTTAACAAGGTAACCAAAAATGACCCAAACTCAATAATTTAAATAACATCTCCTTGATTGATTAGGGAGTGTCCAAATTCAGTGTGTACTAGGATATATTAGTTCAATCTACAAAACTGTACTTTAGCAATGTGGAGCATCAATTTTGGGGTTTACTTCTCATCAAATTTAGTCTTACAAAAAATTAGGTCCAACTTATGGAGCGAATGGAAAAGCACTGGATATTAACTCTTTGGTCTGAAAAAAGTGATTTCCACCTTGCTCTGAAAGGAAAATACAAAATCCATTCAAACAAATAAAAACCAATGAAATTTGCTACCAGATTTGCCAGAACATACATATCCTAGTCCATGCAGTTGAGTTTTTAAGACTCTGATACTTAAACAGATAATTTCAAGGAAAAATAGTGAATGAAGATGAGTAAATAGTCAAGAACTCTAAAGATGTAAGATTGTACTTTTTCTTTTAAAAGATTTATACTTTTGGCAATTTGAGTTACGGAGGGAGAGAGGGAGAAATCTTCCATGTGCTGACTTAATCCCCACATCATCACAACATGGAAGCCAGGCTGAAGCCAGGAGTTTCATCTGAGTCTGTCACATGGAGACACCTGGGTGGCAGAGGCCGCGCTTGGGTCATCCTTGTGCTGCTTTCTCAGGCTGTTAGCAGGGAGCAGGATGAGAAGTGAAGTGATGGGGAACTCACTGCAGGTGGTCGGTCACCTTATCCACTACAACATAATGTCAATCTACTCCTTAAACTTTGAAAACAAACCAGAGTCAGCTTTTGGCAGTTTCCTCATGTCTTTCTATACCCAGTATCCATCTGTTGGTGGTGGTGGTGCACATGAAGCAATGCAGGCCGTTACACGTCAGTATTCTTTAGGAGAGCTCATTACGGGTACTTTGAAAGCTTTGAACTCAGATTCATTAAAATAGCCTGCTCATTTGTTCCACTTTGGCTTAATCTCAGCATTCCCTTACTTCCTTGAAAAATAAAACTGGACAGTTGGTGGAATTCACAAGTTGTTTGTTTGCTTTTAAGATTTGTTTCAAAGGCAGAGTTAGAGTGAGGGAGGAGGGAAAGGCAGATCTTCCATCCTCTGCTTCACTTCCCCAAATAGCTGCCATAGCTGTGACTGGCCCAAGCCAAAACCAGGAGATGAGAGCTGCTCCTCGGTCTCCCATATGGGGGCCTAGAAACTTGGGCCATCCCCTGCTGCTTTCCTGGATGTTTCAACAGGAAGCTGGGTCGGAAATGGAGAAGCTGGAACTTCAGCCAGTCCCTATATGGAATGCTGGCATAGCAAGTAGCTGTTTAATGAGATATGACACAACACCAGCCCTATCCAGAAATCTTTTGGGTAAATCCAAGTTTTTCCTTTTCCCAGGCCTTTCTGATTTAGACTGGGATTTTTGGCTTCAGGACGCCCTTTCTGCATTCTAGAATGTTCTGGTCAGTTAGAGAAAGCCTTGTGTTTCTGAACCTTTCTCTGTATGCAGCCCTGTCCTGGGAGAGATGCACTGTCAGGGCACTGTACTGCAGGCAGAAGGCAGTGTCTCACTGGCTTCCGCATGGGGCTGAGGTGCTGAGTACCTTGGAAATCATGTGGGACTAAGAACTAAATCGCTTACTAGGCCAAATATCAGGGTATTCAGCTGTGGGTAAAATAGCCACTAAATGAGACCCTAAAGTGGATTACTGGGATCATTTCATTAGAATTTGCCAAATGCATGTAGATACTTCCTTCTGACTTTTAAAATCCTTCCTGGGATCACTTTTCTTCTTTTTTCAGGGATTTTTTTAAAAACTTTTTTTTTTTTTTTTTTGTGAAAGGCAGAGTTATAGAGAAGGAGGGAGAGGTGGAGAGAGAGAGAGCTCTTCCATCTGCTGGTCCCCTCTAAATGGCCTGCTGCAGCTGGAGCTGGGCCAGGCAGAAAGCAGCAGCTTCGTTTTGGTTCTCCCACGTGGGTGGCACTGGTCATCTTGTGCTCCTTTCCCAGTTGTGTTAGTGGAGAGCTGCGCTGATCATTGAGCAGCTGGGACTCAAACTGATGTCACGGGAAATGTTGGCATTGCAGGAAGCGGCTTACTCCTGTACCACAATGCCAGCCTCTAGTTAACTTTTCAAATTATGCTGTGTTAGAGGTTCTTTTAGGAGGCCTCTTACCATCCAGTGACGTCTTCTTAGATCTGTCATTTCCCCTATCAAGATGGGAAACAGCCCTGCTTTGCCTTCTCAGATTGTTTGCGCCAAGTGCCCACTGCAGTTGCTAAGGAGATGGAAGTGCACCCCCTTTGCCTGTCCCAGGGGGTGGGTGGAGCATCTGAGGAGCTGTCCCTGGATGCTTGGATCTCTTCACATGGTTGTGACGTTTGTCTTACCATCTTACCTTTTTATTTATCAAAGGTCCAGGAACCACCAAGACAGCCAAGCCCTCTGCTGTGCCTCCAGGTCTCCCTGTGTACCTGGACCTGTGCTACATCCCCAACCACAGTAATAGTAAGAACGTTGATGTGGAATTTTTCAAGAGAGTGAGGTCATCCTACTACGTGGTGAGTGGGAACGACCCAGCTGCTGAGGAGCCCAGCCGGGCTGTCCTGGATGCCTTGTTGGAAGGGAAGGCTCAGTGGGGCAGCAACATGCAGGTAAGGGCTTCAGGGCCATGTCTGCCCTGCATCTGAGCTGTGTCCAGAGGCAGAAGGAGTGTGGGTCGTCCTGATTCTGCCACACTTGAGATATCCCAGGGACAAAGGAGGCTTAACATTTCAGAGGATAGCCTACACTGGGATTCTCTGCCACCACCAGTAGCCATGGCATTGGAGGCAAGCCAGCTGGTTGGCCTAAGGCATCATTCATTAATCGCCAAAACGAGTCCAGGATTAATTGCCTGTTACCTCCAAATACCAAGAGTGTTATGTCTGTGTGGATCAAAGCGGTCAGAGTTCCACGTGAAAATTGGTGTAGAGTTGTCTTGACACCTCTCTGCTTCCTGTGTGAACCAGAGCTTAAAATATTCCACTGGCCCTGTGAAATGCCACAGGAGGAAGAGCATGGCTGAGAAAAGGAGACCCAGAGCTCCCACACGCCATACCTGGCCATGAACTGTCTCTTATTAATTCAGTTTTACTTGTTGTTCTGTAGAGAATCACATGGTAAAGTGCATTTGTGTACCATTCCTTAGAACTGCTTGTTGGAAACTTACAATTAAAGATATTATGCACCTCCATGCCTCCTCCATCTTCAGCCGCATGCAGGAATTCGAGATACAAACCTCTGTCCTCAGGACAAAATGTGAATTGGAATGATGAGGCTTCCGAGGGCTTTGAGCTGTAGTACACACGCAATACCTGTTGGGTGAAATTTATTAGTTGAATGACAGGCAACACAAAAATCACATTACAAGAAATTACATTTCTTGACATGAAAGAACTGAAAGCTTGACAGTGACTATAAATGAACAGATTGATAAGTCACTTGTTGCCATTAGTTTTAGTCCCCAGGAAAGAAAATTATATTTATGCAGCTTTATTCTGGTTTCTAGCAAATGTAAGTCCAAAAAGCTTTTGAATTTCTTGAAAAAAGAGAAAATGTTCTCCGGTCTTCTAATGGCTAGCACCTTTCATGCCTTCCTCTTGTTTCTGTCTCTTCGCTTAAACAGCTCTTTTCCCTCTCCCTGTAGGTGACACTGATCCCAACTCATGACTCAGAAGTGATGAGGGAATGGTACCAGGAGACTCACGAGAAGCAGCAAGACCTCAACATCATGGTGTTAGCAAGCAGCAGCACAGTAGTGATGCAAGATGAATCCTTCCCCGCTTGCAAGATTGAACTGTAAAAGCCAAGGCCAGCCACACCACAGGATTTGGACTTTGCTTCCAGAAATTCTTCACTTTGAAACTACCTTTTCTAAAAAAAAAAAAAAAAAAAAGTCACTTCATCTAATTAAGTCGCTGAACAATTACCTGCCAAATGCCATACTGTGTCATGGTAATGCAAGTCACCACTATTTCTCAGTTTTTGCTGATTGCTAAGGGAAGTCACAGTATTCCCACAACAGGGTTCAAGTTACTGCAAAATGACCTACCCCAGTGCATCTCTGCTGAACATGTTGGAAACCATGCACTAGCAAACCCAACTGACTTCTGCTACGTAGAGACATTTAGAAGGAGAGAGCGAGCAAGCAAGAGAGGGAACGCACAAAGGGAACGCAGAAATGAGGGAGAGGAAGAGACAGAGAGAAGAATGAGAAAGAAAAAGGATGCGAGGGAAGGTGATGACATGGTAAAGTCCTGGTGAGACACCCAGACAGAGCGAGCAGGGTGGGGTAGCAGAGGAGGACATGGCCAACGCTTAGGTCTACGTTTTCTCAGGCAGAAGGTCTTATGTAATCGACAGAGGTCAAGTTTACCATTTGTGTCCGTCTGAGTCATCCAAAAGGGTCTTAATTTGCTACAACAAGTTGGTTGGAAAACAAAACAAAAGAGAAACGCAACTTGTTAGGAGGGCCTGTGAGAACTTCACGCCTTAATTCAACTCCTTCAGACTTGAAGGTCACGCACTGACAGGATGTAGCGAGTGTAGACTGGACACACAAGTGGTTTTGAGCCCCATTCAGAACTCTCTGACCCTTTCAACACACGAGTAGACCAATCTAAGGCATGCTCCCAGCATTTGTCCACCCACTTAGTCCACTCTGATGGCTCGCCTGCATGCAGCAATACCCACGTTCACCCCACTTAACTGAAGCAAATACCAAAGCAGTTGGGAGTACATTCGGTAGATGTTTTGCCTTAGGAAGTGACTTGAATGTACAAAGATACTTGATACACTTATTTTTTCATGGGAGACAGCAAGTTTATAACACATCCATGTAGGATTATAGACACTCCAGGTCAAGGAGCACGTGTTTGCGCGGTGTGTGCTGGTACCAGAAGCTCATCTGATTGGTCCAACAGTTTGATGCTGAGTCATGTGTTTGGAATACCACTTCTGTGCACCTGTGGCCCCTTCAGTCAAACAAGTTGTACCACTAGTAGCTTCTTCACTATTGCACGTTCAAGATTGAAATGGCTTCTCTAATCAGAACTGGGAAAGCAGTGAATCTTACGGGGGAAGAGCTCTCAGCAAGTGTACAGTATTTGCCTTCCTTTGTCTTACATCGGCTTTTTAAATTTTCCATTCATTTCAACATAATTATGGGAACAAGTGTACAGAAGAATTTTTTTTTTTTTAGAATATGTGAGAACTTTTCATAGATGAACTTTTTAACAAATGTTTCATTTACAGGAAAATGCAAAGAAAATTTTCAAATGATATGATTTCTTTTTTTTTTTTTAGATGTTTCATAAGACAAAAATTGAATAATGTCTTTTGAAGTTCTGGCAAGATTGAAGTCTGATATTGCAGTAATATTTATTAAAAATCCATGAGTACCAGGAATAATGATACCTCCCACCCTTTGGTTCCGATAATGTAAAAACCTGCGTATATGGTATTTGAGAGTGGGGGGGAGAATAGCATGGCAAAGCTACTCTTCAAGACATTTGCAAATCCATCACTCAGTTGTGACACTGTTTCAATATCTTCAAGCATGAGGGAAAAGAACCAGATTAAAGAACCCTGGCAAAATTTGCATTGGGATCTTCTTTTCTGGAAAAAAAATAAATAAATAAAAAGGAATAATTTATGGAATACAAATGAACTCCCAAGTCCTATGGTTCATCCTTGTAGAATCCAGAGACGATTTCCATCATTGTCATCACTGAACTGTGATCCTGGGAAGCCAGAGCATGGCGAGAACTGCCATCAGAGTTCCAAGCCGTGGACCTGTGCACCCAGTGTTCAGACGGGGCGGACTTCTCAGCATCAGCCGTGCCAGGCTGCCACGTTCCATTTCCTGCAGACTCTTAAGAGCTACAGCATAGTGAACAACGACCTCATTTTATTTTCTATGTTAGTTATTTATTTCAGAATTAACATTTTCGTTTATTTTTGTCTGATGAGTGGATGTTTTGCACTGCTAACGACGATGAGGGTTTAAACAGTACTTCTTTGGCGTCGCTTTGCTGAAGACCCATGCAGTCTACTTAATGCTGTGAAATACATTTTTCAAATGTTTAATTTTTTTAAGAAGATTAATATTCTATTTTTGTTAGGCTTCTCCAGCAATGCAGCTTTTATTTATTCCCCATTTCTTTCAAGCCCTTTAAAAGAACATATTAAAGGTACAAAAAAAAATGAACATATGATGGAAAAGTCATTGTGATGAACATGGATTTCATTGAGTATAAACTCATCTACTTCGAACTCGTTTCGTGAGACAACCTGAGACACTCAGAATAATTTCCTAACGGCGGTAAGGTTGAGTTGATCCTCATGATGCCTGGGAAGAGAAACACGTCTAGCCTTCTTGCCAAAGCCAGACCTCTGGTTGATTTTTCTGTGATAGAAGATGGAGTTGTGTTCCAATTTCCCAAATGAAATTTTTGTAATGTGCATTATTTTGCTTTCAGAAATTCAAATACTTTAGGAAAATATAGCCAGTCTTCAGTTATATTTCCTCTGCCCCCTAAATCCTCCCCCACCCTTTTTCTTCTGTAATGGGATTTGATGGGGGGGGGGAAATACATGTATATAAACTGTCATCGGACAGCTGGCTTGTTTTCCTAGGAAACCTGCCTGTATCTTTCTCCATCCATTGTTCTCAGTGAAGGCCACGGAGCCTCATGGAGTATATCAGGAAAACCAATATCTGCATTACAGGTTGCTCCTGTCCTGGGACACCTCTCCTACCTGTGTGACTAACCTAATTTTGCTAGTTCCATCAACTCACAATTGGTTTAGCAACAGCCATCACGATGTACCATGTACATTCATGGTGAGAACTAGAGACTGACCCGGACTCTAGAGCTTTGTTCGCACTGAGTACTTGAGCCGAAGGTGTAGATGGATGTCTTGAGTGGAATTGCCCGTCTGGTTGAAGGACGGCATTCTGTGGAGATCGCACCCACGATCACGACCCTTCTGGTAGTATTCCTAACCAAAATTCTGCAGAGATGAGATGTTAGCCATGAGCCTCCATTTCCAATTTGAACAATTCTCTCCCCCTCCCCCCCCCCAACGCCCCCTTCTCTAAACCTGAATCCCATGCATGCTCCCTCAGTCTTGTGGTGGGACTGGATACAAGGACTGAATCCCCCTCCCCTAAACACCATTTCCATGGAGTTCAAAAAAAATTTTTTTTCTTTCTTAACATTACATATCATAGTGAATGGTTTCCCCAGTGTATATGAATGTTTTAAGTGTCTCCGATAGCTTATGCAGTTTTAGGAACTTTCTGATACTTCTTTAAATAAGATTTAATCATTTGCTAATGGAAGTTCTACCACCTTCTATTTTCCTCTGTTACCAAATTTCAGCTCCCAGGAGCTACAGGTCTGAAATTGCTTTTCTTGCCTCTCTTTCAGTCACCTGTCACAGGAGGTTCCTGCTCAGTCATGATCTTGTAAGTTAGGATAATAACTGTTTTAAATTTTATTTTTGCTCTTCAGAATTTAGAAGAAAAGATCCTGTTTCCATTTGAAAGGAACTGTAAGCTTTTATCTTCACTTGATCTTAGCCAAAAGGCCGAGAAGCGATGTAAAGCTTGTATCTTTTAGCCAACTGAACAACACACCAAAAGCAGCCTAGGAATGAGCATTCTTTGAAAGCAATTAGGTTTTTCACCTGGTATTAAAACTATTTACTATTGAAAACCTACAAAAAAAATTTTTAAAAAGCTGTGACTTTATGAAGTTCACTTAAAAGGCAGCCTCAAAGACTGAAAAGGAAGGGGAAAAAAAACCCAACAATTTCCCTGCACTCGCGTGGAGCTCCGCGAGGCAAGAGCCACAGAGGAGAGGCTGGAGGCCACGCCGGTGGAACACCCAAGGCGGCACCCACCCGCTCTCAGCCCCGGCTGGACACCCACGGCGGTGCCCACCCGCTCTCGGCCCGGCTGGACACCCGCGGTGGCACCCACCCGCTCTCGGCCCCGGCTGCTGCGGGCAGTCCTTCTCGCTCCGGCCCCGGAGAGGCGCATCTTGAGCCGGGCGCGGAGAAGCTCTCCACACTCCTCTCTCTCGTTCTGAATGGTGTTTGTGTCAGTCCGCAGCTGTGTATGGTATGACGTCTTATAATCCTGCATCACTTCTATTCTATCCAGTCATATCTAATGTAGAAAATTAGTTTCCAGTGAAAGTAATATGTAGTGCTTTTATGATATTTGTGTGCAATATCCCCTCTTCCATTGAGGATATTTGATGTAAAGGAAAAAAAAAAAAAACTCAGTTCCACAATAAAATACAAAAGTGGCAAAAAGTTTGCGTGTCTATCTGCTGTGCTGACTTCGGCTTTTTTTGGGAGGGGGTGCACATCTGTCCGCAGGGCACAGCCTGATCCCAGTGACCAGGGGACTGTGTTCCTGGGTTGCTGGCAAACAGCCTATGGGGTCCTCATACTGATTTTTCCAGTGATCAAACTCTTTATCCCTTGTAGCCAGAACTGAGAGACCAGCAGAGGTTAGGGGAAAAACCAACCAGGGTGAGCCACAATGCAAATGTCTATCGCCTAGAAGCAGTTCAGGCAGAATTTCCTGGAGCAGCTATCCAGCAAGTGAAGAGTCTGGTTTTGATCTGAACTCCGCCATGTGCAGTCTGCTACCCGAGTCTCTGTATCCCTCTGGAGTGCCTTGTTTCCGGGGAAATGAGAGCATTGGCCGTGATGGTCAGATTCCACGGGCTCTGCTGGGTGGCCTTGGACATGATGCTTAGTCCCTTACCGCCTTGGTTTTACTTTCTCTCCTGATTGTAGAGTATGCTGTGTCATCCAACATCAGGTGCTGTGGATCTGGTTCACATCCAGGAGCTGAAAACTGGCTAGGAAGAGTGATCCATAACAAAGGATGCCAAGAGAAGAGCATTTCCCTTCTGCCCTCCCAGGACTTTGACCCTTGAACCTGGCAGTGGGTTATACCTAGATTGGGGGATTTAAAAGTGAGCAAAGCCTAATGGCTGAGTTGCTTGGGGGGGGGAGGGGGAAGGAACAGACCAGCAAAAAGGTGATAGGAGCTCCTACTTGGATGACCCAAGGAAAAGCCCAGAGGTGACCACGTCCAGGATCCCAGCTCTGAGTCCTGGGGTGCATGTGTGGTGGTGGTGGTTGCAGGGTGAAGGGCATTCCTATAGCAGCTCACACAGCAGTGGGGGACGGCACATACTGGGGAGCAGTGATCTCCAAGGGAGGCCCCTTGGAGCCTGTGTCAAGGGGGACTAACCCCATCTCAGTTCACCCAGACTGCCCAAAACAGGGGAGCCCTCAGGGGGCTTGATCACCCTAACCCATCCCTGCCCAGTTTACGGCCCACTCCCTGCTGACCTAGACTCAGTGGATGGAGACAAGCTGACCTCTTTCCAGCTGACGTTTTATACATAAATGTTGGAGAAAGCTTTCTTTTTTTCCGTTTGAGCAAATCAATCAAGTCTGTAGAGGTCCTATGACTGCGTTTTCTCCCTGTGTCTGTCCCGATGCTGTCTTGTGCTCTTACAATGTGGTCTTTTCACAAAACCCTGTCCTGATTTCTTGGTATCTTGCGATATTCCAGCTCATTGGTTCACAGGGTGCTCTCCACACAGCAGGGGACCACAGCTCCAGGTCACAGTGCTGGACATCCCTGCTCGGAGGAGCAACACCAGCCCCTTGGAATGCAAACTCAGGGTTCAGTGTCACGTATGAACCGATAATAACTCCTCCAGCTTTGTCTCTTCCCTCATCGGCGAAGTCACTCCCAGTTGCCTATCAAGACCTCCATTTGGAAGAAGTCTGATATGGATTTCCGCAATACCACAAATCAAATCTCACATAATCTCCTTCCCAAGGCTGCTTCTCCCACTAAACTTTCCTACTTCAGTTAATGGCAAACCTGCACAGCTAATCCATAATATAGTGAACACACAGCAAATACATAATTCCAATTTTTTCAGATAGAAATGTGGCCCATTAGCAGAAGTGCTGGTTACCAAATCCTGGTTCCATCGCTTCTCCCCACACATTGTTGCTAGTCTGACCTAAGAGCATCATTGTGTCCTGGGTTCTTGTCACAGCCTTCTAAATTCCTCTTCCTCTTTCCCAGTCCTCCTGCCACACTCTCCGTGTTGAATGTTCCACTTTCTGAAAGTGTCACATCAGATGGTTCAACACCTTCAGACAGGTTCTGCTCCCCAAGGAAACGCCAATGTCTTAACGAATGGGCCACATCCATCCCGTTACTTGTTGCCTCTCAGGTACTCTGGCTGCCTTGCTGTTCTCATCTCGTCAAGCCTTTGTCTCAGGGCCGAGGTGCCATCACATGGTACTGCCGGTTCATCACATGGTACTTCATGGTTCTCAAGCTCACCCCAGGAGCCTTTGTGCAAAGAACACCCTCCAGGAAGGCTTTTCCTAAGCAGCCTGCTCTAAGTTACAGCCAGTCCCACTCAGCTAGCATCCTTGCTCTGTCTCATTATGACTTACCATCTACATACTCCAAGCATTCATCTCCCTCCTCTGAATGAAAATGCCACGAGGAAAGGGAATCTTCCTCCCTTCTGTTCATCGTTGTATCCTCAGTAAGTGTCGTACATTCCACAGAGTAGATGTCCAGCTACTGCTTGCTGAGTGAGTGAATGAGTCAGTGGACTGTCTCAGGTTGTACACAATGTCATAGTTGCAGAAAGGGCTCTGATACGCCTTGGTTCAAACGCCATCCTTGCCACATTCTAACTGTGTGGCCCGGGAGAATCATTGAAGTCTGTTCACTGCTCTGCACACTGTGCGTAATAATCCATGCCCTCTAGTCTTGCTGCAAGGATGAGAGCAGGCATTGAATTAAAAAAAAAAAAAAAGATAATGAGAATTCAATGAGGCATAATTAGCATGATTTCTGCAATCAAGAGTGGGTGTGTGGCTGCTGGTAGGCCAGTGCCTGGGAAACATACCCGGGCAGGGATTCACTGACCTGTCCCTGGAGGAAACTTGTAATGGGCATGCTCGGTCCATTTCACTTGCCATTATGAGTATATTCACTTCTGAAGGTATTTGGAGGGTTGTAATGTCAACTCCACCGCGATGGAGCATCCCGGCAGCCAACGCACTGAGCAGCTCTCCTGCCTCTGGGCTCATCAAAGGGATGCACTGTCCCTTGGTAAGTGTCCGAGTCCCCACCTGCAGTCTTTGACCTAGCAATGAGAGCCTATAACGGAATTTATTTTCAGATGCTTTGGCAAGAATGTGTTTATTCTTTTCTGAACACATCCAGATCAGAACTGGAGTCTCAACATTTATGCCCAATAAGCACATAGCCTCATTAGTATTTGGATTTAAACAAGGATGCCAGCTGCTCACTGCCATGGTCATAGGTGCAGCCCTTGTGTTCTGTTCGGATTTCCTTATCACCCAACGGGCAGTGGCAGGCTCACAGTGACCTTGGCAGTGGCCAAGGTCAGCCAAGAGGCCCAAGGCACGGGGCAGAGGAAAGGCTTCTCTGGAGACTAGAAGGCAATTTTCTTGACCCAACTAGGTAGACAGCATTCCTCTTTCCCCATTTTCTGAGGGTTTTAACCATTTATCATCTTCGGGGTTTGAACAATCGATGACAATAGACTGTTCAGGGCATGTCTGCCTGTGTGACTCACTGAAGTCAGCGCCGTGTTACAGGTCCCTCCATCCTCCTTCATTTCGGAGCCCAAGACTTTGGACACAGTTACACTCAAGACAACGCACAAATATGCCCTTCCACTCCCCAGTGGTCCTTGTTTAGAAAGAAAACAGTCCATGCACATCACTGTATATTTTATATTTTCAGAAATAGGAAAAAGCCAGTACTGATTATTTTTCTAGCCAGAAAAATGTCACTTGTAAATGAGATATTTGCCACCAGAATTCTTTGGTTGTATTTACATCAGCATTACAATCTAGGATGATGTGCCCTTATGCCTAGAGCCAGGGTTTCTAACGTTTGGCGCTGGAATGTTCCTTGCCATGGGAAGCTGTCCTGTTCATTGTTAATTGCTTAGCAGCATTCTTGGATACTATTCAATAAGAGCCAATAACAGCCCTAGATGTGACAAGCAAAAATACTTTCACAGGATTGGTGCTCAGCCTAGCAGCTCTGGTGCCTGGGCCCTGCGTTGAAGAGCCTGGTTAGAATCAAATCCCGGCTCAGGCTCATGCTCCTAGTTTCCTGCTAATAGGGATTTCGGAAGGTGTTAGCAATGGTTCAAGTCACTGGGTTCCTGTCACCTACGTGGGAAGACCCTGGCTTCTGGCTCTCCTGGCCATTTGGGAGGGAATCATCTGACCCTGTGAAATCAACAAGAAACTTCCAGACATTTGTGAATATCCCAGGGAACACAATCATTGCCAGTCAAGAACCACAGCCCTGCTAGAGGACAGATAGCTTCGGGGTCACAGGACTGTGCTGCCACTGTGCTAGGAGCGGGCCAGGCGTGTGCCTGGAGTTCACGCCTAGCTACCCAGTCCCCTTGTCCCTCAGCGGACATTGAGGAGAGCTCTGGTCACCGCACAGGGCCCCAGCAGGAAGCCACAGGGCCCCGGGCAGGCTGGCGCCCCGTGCAGCCCCGGGTAGGCTGGTGCTCCGTAGGGTCCCAGGCAGGTTGGCGCTCCGCGGGGGCAGCAACTGCACTTGAATTTTTACGAAGTTAGGTGATGAAAGGATGGACTGTAACAGGAGAGGCGCAAGGCAGGGAAGAACAAGAGGGTTTTTTCTGTTTTTGTGAGAATGAGATCCCCAATAAGACTGTCCCCTGGGAAGAAGACATGAGGAAGGGATGATGCAAGACGGAAAGGAAACGCTTCGTGGTTCTGAAACAATACAGCAGGTATGCGGTCAGTTACCATCACAAAGCATAATTTTGGAATGGTGGGGGGAAGGGCTATCTGGAAACAGGAGAGATGCTGGAGAGAAACCAGGTAGGGCATCTTTCAGAAAGGAAGGAGACAGAGCGGGGGCAGGGGCTCCTGTTCCCTGCTCCTCGGGAAGTGTTGGGGGCTTCTGCAGGGAGGAGAGCTGCAAAGGGGAAACCAGAGGATTGCCGAGTTGAGGAGGACAGTCGGTCTCAGCAGCCTAGGATCACAACTGTGCACACCAACGCTCTGCATGTCAGAAGCAAGCACAAAGAAACTGCCCGTATCAGAACGAAGGGCCCCAAACTGGGCTTTTAATGGGACAACGTTCTGTGGCTGGAGGTCGGGAACCAAGGTGTTGGGAGCAGGACCACAATCTCTCTGATGGTTCCAGGGCCATGCCGTGGCATTCCTCCACTTGCAGGTGGACTACTCGAGTCATGGGACAGTGTTTCCTCCATGCTTGTCCATCTCCATGTCTCAATTCTGCCCTTTTAGATGTTTTAATGGACCTGGCGTGATGGCTCAATCCTTACCTTACAAGCACTGGGATCCCATATGGCATGAGATCGTGTCCTAGCTGCTCCACTTCCCTTCCAGCTCCCTGCATATCACCTGGGAAAGCAGTTAGAGGGTGGCCCGAACCCTCGGTACCCTGAACCCATGGAGGAGAATCGGAAGAAATGTTTGGCTTTGGATTGCTCTGGCTGTCGCAGCAAATTTGGGAGTGAATCAGCGGATGATCTTTCTTTTGTTCTCCCTGTAACTCTGATCTCCCTTTGCAGAAATCTGATTTTTTTAAAGCTTATTTTTATTTGAAAAAGGGAGGAGGAGACAGGGATACACATGAAAAAAAAATCTTCCATTTGAAGATTCATGCCTCCAAGTGCCCACAGCAGCCAGCCCAGGCAGAAGGCTGTGGTCTGGGCCCCAGCTGGCTCTCCCACATAAATGGCGGGAACGGAGGCCGTTGGTCATCACACACTATCTCCCCGGGTGTGCAGTGGCAGGAAGCCGGATTGGAAGCAGAGGAGCCTGGACTCAAACCCGGCATTCCAGTGAGATACAAGTCTCCCACAAGTGGCAACTGGACCAACTGTGCCCCATGTCTACCCCAAATTTCACCTGTCAATCAGCGCCAGGCAAACTGCATTAGGTCCAACCTTAATAACCTCCTTTATTAAGGCCTTATTTTCTAGCACTAAAGGCAGATCTTTAAAAAAAAGATTTATTTATTTTTATTGGAAAATCAGACATACAGAGAGGAAGATATTTCATCCACGGGTTCACTCTACAAGTGGCTGCAATGGCCAGAGCTGACCCAATCTGAAGCCAGGAGCCTGGAGCCTCTTCTGGGTCTCCCATGCAGGTGCAGTGTCCCAATGCTTTGGGCTGTCCTCTACTTCCTTCCCAGGCCACAAGCAGGGAGCTGGATGGAAGTGAGGCCGCTGGGATACAAACTGGCACCCATATAGGATCCCGGTGCATGCAAGGCAAGGACTTTAGCCACTAGGCTACTGCACTGGGGCTTAAGGACAGATGTTAAGGTATTGGGGGCTAGGGCTCCAATATACCTTTCGTATTTTTGAAGATTTATTTGAAAGCAGAGTTACAGAGGGAGACAGAGGTCTTTCATCTGAGGGTTCATTCCCCAAATAGTCACAATTGCTGGGGCTGGGGCTGGGTCAGGCTGAAGTGAGGAGTCAGGAGCTTCATCCCATTCTCCCACACTTGGGGCCACAGGGGTCCAAGCACTTGGGCCATTCTCCATTGCTTTCTCAGGTGCATTAGCAGGAAGCTGGACTGGAAGTGGAGCCATCTAGACTAGAATGGGTGCCCATATGTGGTGCTGGCATGGCAGACAGCAGGTTTACCTACTATACAATGTCATCCCCTCAACAGATTCCCCCTCCTCCCTCTGGTGATGCAACTCAAGGTGGGTCTTGGATGAAGGGAGGGAGATAAGATGAAAGAGGTCAATGAGATCATTGTGTGGGAAAGGTGCGAGGGGTCCAGGTTGGGAAGGGGCAGGAGGGGACCGGGCAAGCTGATTCTGCAGAAGTGTGGCCCAAGCACTGGGCATGGAGGCTTGCTTCTGACAGGTAACTGGGAGGGCAGGGGCTCACAGGGCTGGGTCCTCCCACAAAGCCAGGGTGCCCCAGGCAGCAGTCCGGGGGCATCAGGGAGGGGACAGTGGTGGATGGTCTGAAGCTCTGTCATGGATGTTGGCTGAGTGCTGCCCCTCAGGAGGTGAGGGCATAGCTAAAGGAAGATGAAGAGTTCCTGAGTGAAATGGGGGGCTCCTGAGGCCTGGGGAGTAGGGAGGTTCCTGTTGGGATGGCAGAGAGGCCTCTGGGCAGGACTGGAGCATGGGGCAATAGGGTTAGAGAGGGAAGAAAATGAAGTGACAGCTCTGAGCTGAAACATCGATGAGATGTTCACTTGGTGGCATCCCAGCAAAGCTGCATCTTGATTTCCACCCCCCACCCAAAGATTTATTTATTTATTGGAAAGGCAGATTTACAGAGAGAAGAAGACACAGAAAGAAAGATCTTCCATCAACAGGCTAACTCCCCAAATGGCTGCAACGGCCAGAGCTGAGTCAATCTGAAACCAGGAGCCAGGACCTTCTTCTGGGTCTCCCACACAGATGAAGTGTCCCAAGGCTTTGGGCTGTCCTTGACTGCTTTCCTAGGCCACAAGCAGGGAGCTGGATGGGAAACTGAGCAGCCAGGACACGAAATAGTGCTTATATGGGATGGGATGGCGGAACTGCAAGGTGGAGGATTAACCTGTTGAGCCAGTATGCCAGCCCCTGACTTCCGTCTTGAATCTTCCTCCTAACATAGGGGACTGGCTGAAAACGACCTGCTCTCTGTCAGCCCATGTCAAAGCTGACTCTCACTGTGGACCTCCAGTGAGGCCCAATGCGGCTTCATCAGCGTGAAGGGCCCTGTGCTGGTGCCACCCGTGGGGCTGCACGGAGGTCCATGCAGGGCAGGGTGGCCTCACCTCACTGCACATGAGCTCTGTCCCCAAGGCCACAGAGTGCCACCTCAACAGGGCAGTTCAACTGGTGGTAGAAAGGCTGGTGCTGCTGTGAGCATGCCATAGCTCCACCTCCACTGCCAGCATCCCACATGAGCACAGGTTTGCATCCCGGTTGCTCCACTTCCCATCCAGCTCCCTGCTTGTGGCCTGGGAAAGCAGTAGAGGATGGCCCAAAGCCCTGGGACCCTGCACCCACATGGGGGACCCAGAAGAAGCTCCTGGCTGCTGGCTTTAGTCTGACCTATCTCTGGTCACTGTGGCCATTAGAGGAGTGAACCAGCATATGGAAGAATTCCCTGTCTGTCTCTGTCATTTTGCATTTAAAAAAAAAGAAGAAAAAACGAGGCAAGGGAACACAGCCCACATGCTTCAGACCCTGCACTTCCATGGAATTCCTGGCCCTCAACCCTGGCCACTGGAGTTACTGGGAGTGAACCAGCTCTTCTCCTGGTATCGCTCTGCCTTTGAAATAAAAAAAATTAAGCAACAAAAAAAAAGTCTTAAAGGATTAAGTGCTTCCTGTGAGTGGTGGTGCTGATTAGCAGTGCTGCAGTCTGATGGGAAGCCTGAACACCTGTTACTCAAAATGCCAGTCACGGATGCACGAGTTCCTCCTCTCCCCCGTGAAGAACACACTCACCCCAACAACGCCAGCACATTTATTTCCACAGGTTCTTGACAGAAGAGCACAGGCCAAAGACACCGGGCAGGCAACGTCAGGCAGCGAGCAGCTGCACGGAGGCCCTCTCCGGCCCTGCTCACCCTTGCTTTCCGCAGCACAGGCGTGCGCAGGCTGTGTGCCTGTGTACTTATGGCTCATTTCACGGATCTGTGAGAAAGCTTTGGAAAAGGTGACCCCGACGTGGTGAAGGGGCACTGGCTTTCCCCCACCCTCAGACAGGATGGAGGGTGCAATCTGAAATCCACAGGGCTTACACTCGGGTTTGCTCCTAAACTTCTCCCAGCCCAGGCCTGGGAAGGTGAGGCCAGAGGAAGGCAGAGTGTGGGCTGCTGGGAGCCCCCCAGCCGGCTCTCGGGGGACCCTGGTCTGATGAAGGGCCACCTCGCAGTTAGAGCTTCTCCTTCACCAGTGCTGGGTGCTACTGTGTCCCAGGAGTTCCCTGGGGGTCCAGAGCCAGCGCTGCCATTTCCAGTCTCTCGCCCTTCCCGGCCTGTGGACGGGCAGTCCCAGCCTGCTGACCGTGAACATGATGGTTTCTGTACCTCACGCGTCTGCTCTCAGAGCAGGAGTGGCTGCCGCCCCCTGCTGCTGGGGCTCCAGGGACCCCGAGGCCTTGGCTGCTTGCCGGGCCTGGTGCTCCTTTCTCGCCGTCTCCCTCTGCTGCTGCTCCCTCTGGATCAGCTGCACCCGCTCCTGTTGCCACTGCTGCTGCTTGCGCGCGTAGGTGGCCAGGTCCTCGGCTTCGCAGGTGGGCAGCTGCTCCTGCACAAGCTGGGTGGTCAGAGTCAGAAGGCTTTCTGACTGCACCCTGCCCAGAGCCTGAAGCTTGGACTGCAAAGCCTGTCAGTAACGAGAGAAGGAAAGGGGTTGGGGATGCAAACAGACAACAGGAGAGTTAGTGCAAAAGGGCACACACTTGCCTGCAGAAGAGGCACGCCTTTCACCCGGGCACTGCTAGCTCTGGCTACTTTTGCTGACCCAGCCATGTCCCTGGGAGGTACCACATGTTTCTCCTCCTGCTGTGCTCAGCAGCCGCGTGAGCTGTGACTCCCAGGTGTCATTTCTTGCCCTAAGCCACCGAGACAGCACAGGCGTCACGGGTCTCTGCTTCTCTTTTGGTCCAGATCAAATCAAGCAGAATCAGATGCCAACAAAAATGATGGACACCTGATGAAACTCCCCTAGCTTCCATTTCAGAGAATCTGAGCCGCTGGCCTTCCGAGCGCTCCTTTCCACAGAGGGAGATGCCGTAGGGGGCTTCTCGCTAAAGGCCTGAGACAGCTCCTGGCAGCACCCGCTCCATCACGTGTTTCCAACTGCTGGGCCCCCTGTAAGTCGGCCTGGGTATCAAATGGCAGCTCGGAAGGGTCACTGTGATATTGTTGGAACAGCGTGGCATTAAAACACAACAACAATAACAACCATGCTTGAAGATGCAGGTCACCAGAGTGGGCTGCCCGTGGCCTACGATACAGACGAGGTGGCTGCAGGCCAGGTGAGTGCCGCAGGCTGAGGAGTGGCCAGAGACCTGGAGTGACGAGTCAGCATCATGGCAAAATGTGTCCCAAACAAACGACTTCAGATGAAAAAAAAAATTCAAGACACAGGAAGAGAAGGAAACGTGAAGTGACAATGACCTTTTTCAGATACCACCTGCCATGGCTTGTGGTTACGGAGCAGGCCGGGGACAGGAGGATGAGGACTCAAGCATGGCAGAGCAGCCGTCCGTCGCCTGTGTGTCAGCTCCTCTCAGCCGTGCAGTCATGCGACGGGCCAAGAGGACTCCCCGAGCAAGGACCCCCCGAGCGAGGACTCCCCGAGCCAGGGCTCCGTGTGGCTCGGGCAGCGCAGCAGGCTCTGCCGCAGCCAGCAGGAGGCAAGTGTCTGCCTCTTCTCCTTCTCTGAATTTCACACAAATATGTGTTTGTAAGACTGGTGGCCAAGAACTGAATATGGGCAGATGTCCTATAGGACGCAAGGGATGGAGTGGTCACCTTACAGTGGGCGCGGCCACCCTGCTCAGTGTGAAGGTCATCAATGGTGGTGGTCTAGGGGGCTAAGCAGATCGTTTCTTCTGCCAAACTTGGGCAGAGTTGAGAGGAAACATGTTGCTTCCCTGGCAATAGGTGTGCCCAGGAATGTGGCTGCACTTCCCCTCTTGTTCTCAAGCAACAGGAGAGAAGGTGAGCAAGGACTTTGCAGAAGTACCGGGAGGACCAGCTGCTGAAAACACAACAGAACGCCCCCTGGTGATTCAGGGAGGCCGGTTTCCTGTATAACTCCTGAAAGTATGCATGCAAAGATCTGGCAAAGTTTATAACCGTCGGCCTGCAAGTGTCACAGGGGTCGGCTGGCACGGCGGAGCGTTTTCTGCTTGGCAGAGCAACCCGTCTCTTGGTGCTAGACGAGCAACACTGCAAGCGGGAGGAGATGGAAGGTGCAGACAAAGTCAGGCTTTCTGCCTCGCCTCTGCTCACAGGGCCGAGACCTCCAGCCGTCTTCCAGCGCCCCAGATGCCACACAAGCATCCAAAGAAGGCACCAGAGGACACCTGCCCCTCCTCTAACCGCAGCTCGGTCATGGCTGACGGCAGCTCTCACACACATAGCACTGACAGTCTTCGTGGCTGGGCAGGGGCCGGGCTAGGGGTGCAGGGTGGTGTGTCTGGCCCCGTCAGCACAGGCAGGGAAGAGTGGGTAATGCCATGTCACCACAGGGAGTACATCCATCCCTTTTGGAACTACTTCCTGCGGGAGGCAACAAATACGTCATCTGACGTCTGGCTCTTAACACGGCTGCGTGTGACACAATGCATGCAACACTGGCCGCCTGTCACCACAGCATAGGAGCAGTTTGTGCAGAGCTGGGAGAGACTGCACTCCCCGCTGGCTCACCTTAAACTGTTCCAGGTACTGGGGAAGCTTGGACTGCTCGGTCTCCTCAATGTCCATGTGCTCCGCCAGCTGGACAGGGCCCAGCTTGTCGTCACTTTCCTGGGGCTGCTCCTCGGCGGCCTCGGCGGCTGGAGAAGTCACGGCCTTCAGCACCGTGTCCAGCACCTCGAGCTGCAGAACACAAAGATGGTCAGGGAGCATGCGCTGGGTGGTCCTGACGCTCACCGTGAGTAGGAAGACGGGCAAAAACAGGACCTTGAAAACCAAGAAGTTTCTGAACACTGTAGGAAATACATATGGGGATATTTGTGCACATGACAAGTATCCTATGCACTGAATGGCACAGAAAACTTAGCATCAATTAAATGACAGATAGGGCCCAGTGATGTAGCCTAGTGGCTAAAGTCCTCACCTTGCATGCCCTGGTTCTAATCCTGGCAGCCCCACTACCCATCCAGCTCCCTACTTGTGGCCTGGGAAAGCAGTGGAGGACGACGCAAAGCCTTGGGACCCTGCACCTACATGGGAGACATAGAGAAGGCTCCTGGCTCCTGGCTTTGATCAGCTTAGCCATGGCAGCCACTTGGGGAGTGAAACATCGGACGCGAGATCTTCCTCTCTGTCTCTCCTCCTCTCTGTATATCTGAATTGCCAATCATGTGCCAAAGTGGACCAGCAATATTGCATTCCACAGCCAGGCAGGCGTCCAGCAATGACCTTCCACATCTATGTCCCTCAGGTAGTGACGGGCAGACTGCTGGACACTACAACCATCTAAACGACCATAACAGCTGTGGACTGGCAAGGGTTATCCTGCAGGAAAGGCTTGAGCTCCCAGGGTAAATGCACATTAACAGTCAGTCACCCTCAAGACCTGCTGGCACATCCAGAGATGCACACGGGAAACTGCTTCAATGAGGTGACTTCTCCGACTAGAAAAAAAGTTATCATATATTAAAAAAACAAAAACCCGAGAGGGATGTTTCTGTTTGGCTTGAGCCCCTTACCACCCACTTTTTGCCTCAGCGCACCCCTGCCTTGACCTTGGAGAGCTTCATCTACCAGAGATGGCAGAGAAACACTGGCGCGGCTGATGCACCTGCTGGGGCAGGACCATCCCTGTCCACGGCACACTATAGCGCATATCCGTCAGTGTCTCTTTTTAACTAAGTCCTTTCTGGGCCCAGGCGTCTCTGAAGCTGACCTGAAGCCAATCACTGTCCTTGCCTCTCTCTGCTTCTCAGGAGTTGCACAGTGAGCCATGACTGAGTGCAGGAAAGCCTCGCTCCATTAGACTCTTGCAAGCAACTTGTGGGAACAGATGTAAGGAATTCCTGTACAGAAGGGCTGCTTTCTACGGGGACTCCTGTATACGAGGCCGCAGGATAACGAACGAGAAGTGCTGTGACACGGGAACCAGGTTACCTGGCATCTGCAAGCTTGAATGAGTTCACATAGGGTCTAAAGAACAAAACCGTCATGCAAACAACAGAATGTTCCTATGAATTTCCTACACGTGTTTAAAGCTCTTCCCATAGGAGATGACTATCGACAGAGGATGTGTGAGCTAATCCTGTTACTGAGAAACTCGGGGTGCAAGGCTTCCTGAAGACTCTTGGCTTAACAAAGCCTTGTGTCTTTTGGCTTCCACTTGTGAATTCTACTGTAGTTTCTTGTTTTGTCTTGTTTGTGCAGCACTTGTGTCCCAGTCTTGTTCTTTTCAAGATTTTTATCATGCTGCTTTGAGATACAAATCCAGAAGATTACTACTGATAGTCAACACCCATGTCAAACACAGGCCATGCTCTCCTTGACATCACAGTTCTAGGAAGTCAGGGCAAAAAGAATGTTAGTCTGGCTGAACCTGAAAGGACTATTTCCTTGGCCAAGAGTTGATACATAATTTTATACCTTTAATCACCAGTGCTGACCATAATAGGGTGGAAACACACATCTTGGTAATGTGTATCTTTTAGTGCAAATGTGTGGCAAAGAACCTAACAGCTCACTAGACACAGACGGATGCCACAGCTGCACGCCATGCCTGAAACGAAGGTTGAGGGCACAGGCCTCATGACCAGGGTCAAGGCACCTGAACAAGTGCCTCCACGGCAACCTTGACACTCCGGCAAGTCCGCTGGCCTCACTCTGGGTACGTTGATATGGACAGGAGTGGACACTGTAGGTGCCTGTGGTGTAGAAGACCTGTCATATTTCCCTGGACCCAAGGAGAGTAACTTCTGAGTGTCACAGGACTCTGAGGAGTTCATGGACAGTGTTGTAGTCCAGGCCAAGCTAGCACCAGAGGACTTTGAGAGGATCATGGACTTGCAGGCTAGCATCACACACTTACCAAGCACGGGCAGACACAAGGAAATAAGACTGTGTCCAGGTTCATTTTGGCAAGTTTTTATGGAGGAAGAAAATGCTATGTGAGAGCACAGAACTAGGAGAAATACTTAGAATGACCCCCTGTCCTCTCGTGAGTGCCCACTGAGACTCGGGGGGCCACGGAACGAGTTGGAGAGTGGGCAGTATTTTACTGAACTCGGCGTGAATTTCAAGCTGGACAACAGACTGCAAGTCAACATTTGTCTCATTTTCTGATGCTTTTCATTAGCAGCATTCAAAACGTTGTGTGGTTGTTATCCATCCCTTTGTGTAAGTACCTATCCCCCTGACATCAAAAGTACTGGGGTAGAGGAGATGAGAACAGAGTCCAATGGACCTACCGCTTCTCTGCTCAGCTTGGTGTCTCCAGGGGAGGAGGCCACCATCGCCATCACCTGCAGGGCTCGGTCAAGGTAGCCTGGCTTCCATATCAGGGGCATGTTGTGGTACACGGCCCGCAGCCCTCGCTGCAACTCCACCTTGCCTGGGGACAAAAGGAACAATACAGAAGGTCTGGTTACGTCACCCACCTTGTCTGCACAATTGAATATGTGTCTGGCAGCTCCAGACACAGGGAAAGAGTCTTTTAATCTGCACCTAGAACCTTGCCACGCCCAGGGACCTGCCGACACTGCAGGAGGATGGAGAAGGTGATGACATTTCACTGGGCTCACTTTTTAAGACAAACTCGTGCTGACTTGCCTCCCCCCTGGGTAATCTGGGCTGGCGGAGAGCCTCATGTGGGTGTAAGGCCCCAGGGCCCCAGCAGAGGTCGTCTGACCTGCCTCTGAGTGGGAGCTCCCTGAGCAAACAAGTCAGCTGAAATCCTACTTGTGTCTCAGCAACGGAACCCTCATCCTACAGTGAAAATCTTGTCAGCACAGGAAAACGTTTCCCGCCAGCAAATGTTTGACATGTTTCAAAATACTCCAAAACAGCCGTGTTCTTAGGAAGACAGAAACAAAACAAAAAATCAAAAGCCAACCCCTTTGTCTTCCCCTTGAATTGAGTTTTGTCAGTTGTGAAGCCTGGTGTCCTCCTGGTCCTCGTGGATCACAGGACATGGTGGCTTCTCTCTCTGCACAACGGAGCTGGAGATGCGGATGGCGGATGGAGGGCAGGAATGGCACAGCCTGCACGCCGGAGCAGAGCCCCGCCCACCTCAATGACCAAGGTCACCCTGAGGCGCCACGTCTTAAATCCACCGCCACCGGGAGGGAGGATTTGAGCAAGCTATTGCAGGACAGAAACTGACAAAGCTGCTCAGGTGGCAGCTAATTTTAGACCTTTAAGGTGCTTGTGGCTGGACACAGTCATGTCCCCGGCTGCCACTTCCGCCAGGGCTGCAGCAGGTCCTGCGGCACGCGGCAGCAGTAAGTGCAAAGAGCTTGAGTTCCGGAGGCTGCCAGCCACCAGCACCAGGGTCTTTGCTTAGACACAACAGAGTGGAAGTCTTCTTAGGCCTGCCCTCCTGCCCGGCAGTCCAAGAAAACATCAGAGTCCTGACTGCTCATCAGAACGCAGGGGCAAGCACATCTGAATCATAAGCAGGTGGCGAATAAGGTACGTGAAGCTGTGATGTTTCAAGAGAGGTCAGCTCTGTTGCTAAGCCAGGCTGATAAACTCCGGAATCCTCTGAGTGAGTCTGTGCCATGCTGGCATCTGGGAAGGACACACCACATGTTGGCAGAGATCAACTTCACAAGCAGCCAACTGCTAGAGCTCAGATGACTCTCAGAAATCAAAGGCAGCTGGAGCCACATCTGATCCAGTGTGGGTGCCTTCCCAGAAGCCCAGCTCTGTAAGGGGGCACCTGAGGACTCCTTGCAGCCAGGTCACGATTCCTGCACAGGTGCGTGGCTGGGATCCGCCCACTTGCCACAGCACCCAGGTGCCGAAGACACTCCTTGGCTTTGTCTTTCAGATCCCCTGCCCATGGTCCAAACCAGATCGAGCCCCTCTCTGCTCCCCAAGAGCTGCTGGCTGTGCAGCTTCGCACTTCCCTCACCTGAAAGCAATCCCAAAGATAAAGTGTAACTCTAACTCTTCATTCATTGCTTCCTGGACTTGAGGTCTCAAGAGGCAGAAAGATTTCTGTCTACTGGCAAGTTCTTTCCATGTGAGTTTCCTGTGGCGTCAGGCCTGCCTTTCTCCTTGCCAGTGGTGACAGGATCTAAGAACTCAGATGCTAACTCTTAGGCCCTCATCACCTATTTTTACATCCAGAGAAGAAGGCTGTAATTAGAATTTTCCCAACACGCTTAAATCTGACATCACTGTATTAAGAGGCAGAGAAACGCATGTGTTCTATCTTGCAAGAACAGTATTTGTAAGGCTCACTCAGCTTACCAAGAAGTGCGTAGCCGTATAACTGGGAACTGAGACCCACTGAGTTCTGCTGCTTGAGGCCCGGAAGTAACAGGGATGCGCCGAAGTTCCTCTCCTCTTCCCACTGCAACAGGACATACCAGATCACAGTCCGGCCAAGCCCTGGACACTACACGCAAAACCGTGATCTTTAATAATGATATGCAAGAAAATCGCATATTAGAACACTGAGTTAAAAACTGCATATAAAATAATAAAGCCATATGTGCGCACACACATACACAACCCAATTTTGTGAATCAAAGGGACTGATGTTATAAGAAAACAGGAAAGGAACACTTCATACGTTAATAGATTTCTGGGTAGTGAAATTATAATTCTGGATTTCTTTTTTGTACATTTCATTATTTCCCACATTTCTGGCGATGAGTAAGAGTTGCTTCTGAAGAAACCAAGCAGACACTTCAGACCAACGCTGGCTGAGATGACTGGGAATGATTCAACACGCTGTGGGCCCCACATTTACTTAAATTGCTGTGGTGATGGCGTGGGCTTGAGTTTCAAACAATCCAGCAATGATAAAATTCCCACAATGTTAGAATAAATCCCACTATTAAGCTGCTTTTAGGCTGATTTATGCCTCTTTAAAAAACAAGTGAGGCAATCAGAACCACTCAGAGATCATTGCTTTCAACCCAGGCTGCAGAATTACACTTCAATAAAACTGAAGCCTTTTGAGACCTGGCGATGGCGAAGGTGCGGGAGCAGTGAAGGGCCAGCAGGAGGGCTCCTGACCCACCCCAGAGACGGGGCGCAGTGACCCTCCTGTCCTGGGGCCTAGGGGTGGGCACGGCCAGGACAGGCATCTTGCCTCTGGCTGGAAACAGGGCATGTTGTGGCTCAGGTGTTCCTAGTGGGGGCTTTGCACTGGGAGGTCAGGGGCCAAGCAGAGACCGAGTGAGTCTGTAGGCTGCAATTGCAGCCAGGGGCGAGCGAGGTCCACCCCCAGGTGTTAATAGGCACTCGGACCTCCTGACTGTGAACAGCCTTTGTGTGCAGTCCATCAGCAGTTGAGGCTTTTATAACCCTCTGAAAGGGGCAAAGACCTTGTGGGGTCCGGGGGTGCGGGTAGGGACAAAACCTCCCCAGGCACTTGAGCCGCACAGGTAAGTGACAAGAGCTGAGCATTAAGGATCAGGTGGATAGGGTCACAAAGAAAGCACTCGATCAGGGGAGATCCAGTGCTCCCTCCCCCTCAACCACAGACAAATAAGGAGCTTTAAAATACATCTATTTTTTTCCTACAGGGAAAACATGTGTGAGAGCATTAGGGCGTATCAGGGGTCAAACTCTTGTGCGCCACACTAACCTACTGAAGGGATGGTTATCCTCAATGCACCAGTAATCACGTGAGACGTGAAGTACCTGGGATGGTGAGGCTTCCCAAACGATGCTCAGAAAGACGAGTTTGAACACATGAAAAGTGTCATGACAGCTGTTCAAATGGTAAGCTACTTATGTCAGATCCCTTGGCACCCTTAGACTCCTCTGCAGACACTCTAATGGAGTTCAAGGTGCTAGGTCCCCAGGCCCTTAAAGTTTCCCCATCACACTCTGCGCCTTACCTGTTAGTACAAAGCGACTGTATGCACGCCCATTTCCCGTTTCTACTTCTCCACACTCAGACATTCTAAGAGCTGTACACCTGCCCCCTCCTCTCTGCATCTCTAAACCACTTCAATGTATTCCAATGTGGCTTCCTGTTCTCTTTCTCTCTCTATATATATGTATAAATAAAAGATATTTATCTATTTAAAAGTCAGAGTTACAAAGGGAGAGGAAGAGATACAGGAAGAGAGATTTCATCTGCTGGTTCACTCCCCAAATGGCTGGGGCTGGATCAGCCAAAGCCAGGAGCCAGGACCCAGGAACTTTTGGGTCTCTCATGTGGGTGCAGGTTCCCAAGCACCTGTGCTTGCCTTTGCTGCTTTCCCAGGAACATCATCAGCAGGGAGCTGGGTGGGAAAGAGCAGCTGAGTCTCCACACCAGCTTTCCTATGGGATGCCAGTGTCACACGAGGAGGCTTCCCCTGCTTGGCGACAACGTTGGCCCCAGCAAAAAATACATCTTCAAAATGGTGTGTGAGTGTGTGTGTGTGTGGGCGCATCTCTGCAACGGTCAGACCACAGCCATCACTGTTCTGATCCCACCGACGTTACAGCCAGAGACAGCTAGGCAAAGCGGCAATCCGGCCACACTGCCTCCTCTGCTGAGAACTTCTCAGTGCTCCTCACCGACCTTGCCTCATCCATGTCCTCCTTGCCATTGTCTGTTGGGGCTGCCCCAACCACTCTCTTTCAGCTCCGTTCTTCATGTCCTCCGGAACTGGGTAATTCCTAGTCATCCTGCAAATGTTTTCCAGCTGGAGTCTTCTAGAACCCCTTTCAGTTTAACGTGCAAACGAGGCTCTAGCCCATGGGCACGTCATAGACTTCTCCACTGTATTGCTCACTGCAGTCTTAATTGTATCCTGGTGTGTTTGTTTCCTTTGCCTTAGACTGTAAGCAGGCAGTGTTTGTTCGCCAATCCTTGGAATAGTGGTGCTCGTTATATTTAACGATGTGGGATACATCGCAGACACGACATGTGGGGAAGGCACACACCACCAATCCTTTAGAACACGGCCTAGGCTACATCAATTTTGCAGTTTCTACTCAAAGTGGGATTTCACGGTGCTACCTCTGCACTCACAGGCAGCCTACAGAGCCAGGCCACGGGGTTTTTTGACCTCCATGCCTCAGTCTCCTTAGCGGTACAATCAGTGAGTATTAGATGTAGTGGTTAATTGAAACAAAACAAGAAGACATTAAGGGCTACATAAATAATGGTACTGTTATTACGCTGAGGAATACAATGAACGATGACTGAGCACTCAAATCTGAGAGCTGGAACCAAAATCTGGCATTAGGGCCTTCTGAAATGTAAGGTGCCGAGCGCATTCGTAGAAAAATACTGACGCAAATTAAACAACCAGTGTGCGATACCCTGGATGGTGATCAGAGTTAGCTGCCCCCTTGCTTCCTTGGCAGGCCACGTTCAGCCCTCAGTGATGATCAGGGACCACTTCTGTGTGTCCAAGGTCTCTCAGCCTCGCTCTGGATGTGCCACATGGAGCCCGAGTCGAAGTTCTTCCAGGCGCAGAGACATGCTGCTTAATGCCGTGCAGACCAGAGTGTACACGCATGCCCAGACGTGCGTGACTACAGTGCCACACACATGAGTCCTTTTCCCCGACTTTCAGGGCAGTGCTGCCACTGGCCCCCCCACCCCTCCAACAAAGGAGCTGCCACTGCAAGCTTCCTCCTGAAGCCCTCACCACTGCTCGGTGTAGACCACTTACAGTCAAGGCCGTCTTCTTTGCCAGGCACTGGTACAAAACATAGAGGGACAGAAGCTGGGTGGAAGGTGCTTCGAAGGCTTCTTGCAACATGACCTCAAAAACCACAGACAAAGCATCTGGCAAGAAAATCAAAGGAAAAAAAATGAGACAAGACCAGTCGGAGGGAACATCTCCAAATCTCTTACTTGGCTACAAAGACTCTTAAAAACGCAGGTGTGATAGAAAACCAATCAGAATTAGGAAATAATAATAATAAAAAAAGGTGGGATCTGATCCTTCTCCCATGGAAGCCTTCCTCCAAGCCTGCAGCGTCTGCCGTGCAGACTAACGTGAGCTAACCGCAGGGGACAGCAGTGCTGTCCTCCACGACACTGGATGAGCCACTTCATGTTGCTTGGCTTTTCCTAATGGAACAATGCTGCATGCCTCGTTCATGTATGAAAACATCTCAAAAACTAGGAAGCAACGGAAGGCCCCATGTTCCCTCAGCTTGAGCAGCTACAGCCTACAAAAGTACAGGGATTGGTCAAGGTCATCCCGATATGCGGGCCAGTGACTAGCCCAACCGTTCCATTCGCTGCTCTGGTCCCTTCTCTCTGTTGAGGTGGAAGAGGGCAAGATGTTCCAGCAAACACTATATCTTAGGTATTCAAGACAGGAAATGGATGGCTAGAACAAGGTCAATAAAGGTCGGAAGAGGACAAGGAAACGCAGTTGATGGTGGGCTCTCCGAGAACGTGCACCGTCATGCGAGCTGCGAGCGTAACATACAACGTAAGGTGTGTTTTTCATGTGGATGCTGGTCACAGGTGAACAACACCTTGAGCAGTCTGATATTCTACAATATAGAAAGAAGCCAGAAAATCAAATCCAAACAATCTCCTTCCCTTAGTGATTGGTCCTTAGAGAATGGTAACACTGGTTTAAATATGGCACATACTGCAAGCATAGCACATGTTTCTGAGCCGCCCTGGTAACCAGCTTCTGCATTTACTCATAATTCTAAGAGGCACATGGGTTTGCAGCGGCCTCCAGCCAGCTGGTTCTGCATGAGCTGCCATGCCTGTGAGGTCAGAGATGGGATTTCTCTGTTTTTGTAAACAGGGAACTTGTGACAGACAGGAGGGCAGACCAGGAGGTCATCTAGCGAATAGCAGCAAAATGAGGAGAGGAAGACATTTTCTTGGCAAATGAATGACGTCGTAAAATAAAATATCAATAAAGCCCCACAAAGTGAAGAAGCTGGAGTTATTTCTTAAACTGTTCTGCCACTTGTTGCCAATCCAAAATGACACAGGAACATGGGATCGTACTGACTCTACGCTGTATTTATGGGCTGCGTTTTGTTCCGCAGAGGAATGGATTCAGATCGGCCTCCGTCATTAACTTGTCTCCATGCTCGTTTATGCACTTTAGCATTTCCCGACCTAGTGACAATAAAATGCTTCTAAGATTTTTTTTTTTTTTTGCATAAATGGTAATAATCTTCACCACAACTTTTCTGGTTGGAAAAGTGATGCCAAGAGATGCCAGTAAGAAAACGGGCAGGCGCTCACATTTCTCTATTGCCCTTTGGGAAGTGTACATTTTAAAATAAATAACTGAATCGAGGTTTGCTTTCTTACCTTTGTAATTTTCTCTCTTTATGAAAGTATCCAACAATAAATTGAATGTAAAGTTATCTGGAAAAATTCCATATTGAACCTGTAATGAAAATGGAAATCAGAGGGGGAAATTCCTACTTTAATTGTGGTATTATTAGGAGAAGACCTTTCGCTGTTAGCTTGGGAACCTCTGCTGTCATTGTACAGCATCCATGAGAACGCAACAGCAGCTGTGACTCGTGGGACCTCTCGGGCAACTGCAACTGTTGGTCAGGGTGAGAAAGTTATGAGTGGGTGTCTGGTCTGACGCAGCCTGCAAGTGCAAAGTCAAGCTCGATCCTGACACCCGTCACAGCCCCCAGCAGCTCTCCGCGAGGCAGGTCTGAATAAGAAAGCCAATGGACTTGGAAGATAGCACACATGGTTCAACACCTTCTCAAAGTAAGCCCGGAAGCCTGATTTTCTCCTTTACTAATTTTAAAGAACTATTTGAAATGGGGTGTGTGTGTGTGTGTGTGTGTGTGAGAGAGAGAGAGAGAGAGAATGCATGATCGAGGGGGGTGAAGAGTGAGAATGAGATGCATGGACATCTGGGTCTCCCAGGTGGGAAGCAGGGATTTGCGCACCTGAGCCACCATCTGCCGCCTCTGACATGCGTTACAAGGGAGTCACACTAGAAGTGAAGTAACCAGGACTCGAACCAGGCACTCCAATATGGGCTGCAGGTGTCTCAAACAGCAACTTAACCCACTGCGCCACAGTGTTTGCCCCCTTAGCCTGGCTTTTGTTTTTTCTTTTTTAAAAGTTTTTGTTTGATTTATCTGAAAAGCTGAGCTAAGACAAAGGCATGGGATAAGGAGGTAAGGAAGAGAGACAGATCTTCCATCTGCTGGATCACTCCCCAAATTAGACTGATTTTCAAAGAGCCAAGAAATACACTAATGGCATTTACTTTAAAAAAAAAAAAAAGCAGCTGCGAGCCCTAGTGGCTGGATGGCAAGTGCAGTAGCCAGGACAAGAACTGGCATCCATAGGACTTGCTGGCACCAGAGGTAGAGGCTTAGCACACTAAGCCACACCAGCCCCCTGAAGTCAGAAACTGTTAAAGCTTGAATCCCTGAGGAGCTGCCTCGGGGTTCTCCAGGGATTCTATCTAGGACACTTTCCTTCCTCAGCCTCAGATCTGCAGAGCCAGGCTTTTCAGAAACTGGGCACAGGAACCTGAAGCTTTGGTGGGCCTGCCGGGTGCCTGTCACGCACATGTCAGCACAGCCTGTTAGTGCATCTCATCTGTTTGTGAGGTCCCAACCACCAGCAGCAGCACCGAGGACAGTTTTCCAATTGTCCCCATCTCCCGGGGGTGGCGGGAAATTCTGTTGCACTAAACCCCAAATGTGCCTCCTTCTGGAGCCGAGTCATTGCTAACAGGCAGGTGAGGGATGCCTTGGGTGTGCAGAAATGGAAAAAAGGTTAAAAAAAAACAGTGCTTTATTAGCTGTAGCTCATGGGCAGTGTCTGCACCTCTTGAAGCAACCACTGAAATTGGCACTAAGTCCTAAAGGGTTCAAGGATAAAATCAAAACCACCTTAAGATGAGAACTCATCTTGAGGATGGAATGGAATTCCTCAATCTATGTGTCACTGATTTACAAGTCTAGCTGTAAATCAGAATCAACTGGGAGCTCAGAAAAAACAGAGGGGCTGGTACTGTGGTGTAGGTGAGGCCCAAATCCTCCATGGGAGTGAGTTCAGGTCCCACCTGCTCTGCTTCCGATGCAGCTCCCTGCCAACACATCTGGAAACCAGCAGAGATGGCACAGGCATGTGAGCCTGTCACCCACACAGACACCTCGGCTGCAGTTCCCGGCTTCAGCCTGGCCCAGCCTGGCCGCTGGGAGCTTTAACAGAACAAACCTCTACCTCCTGCCACTCTGTGGGCACTGCAGAACCAGATCTATGCTAAGGTGAACTGAATTCAAGTCATAAAATCCATCTTTACCCAGGGGGCCCAAAAACAAAATTAGTGTTCCTTCTGAGCTGTTATTGCCAAGGCCCAGGCACACTGTAGAGACAATACATTTTTGTAAAGCTAGTCTGACGGCTCTAGTTGTGTGCAGATAGAGATCCACAATAATAACACTCCAAATTTTTGTCTGTTTACCCCAAGGAGGGCAATATTCAGGAGAGGGGCTGAGAGAGAATATCCGATCTGAATGTCTGGAGGTCAGATCTCAATAAAAACAGCCGGATTTCCCCAGTAAACTTGAGGACAGGACTTCCCAGCTCAGGGATCAATCAAGCATGAGACAGGCCCTAGTGTAGGCCTCTTCTGATTGGTCTTGCAGCTTTCCTTTACTGGGTCCCTGTGCCTGGGAAAGTGTGGGGAGCGGTGCACCGGGAGCTGACCCCACGCATATGGGGGGTTGCGAGATGGCGGCTGGCCGAGGGCCAGGAGGTGGGATTTGTCCCGCCAGTAGGTAAACAGGAAGTCACAGGGATAGGCTAATGCCCCCACTGCGATTATGCCATTGCTACTGGTCTATCAGTGCTCAGTGGACCCACGGGGAGAGGTGATTGGTGGAGAACTGTATACAAGCAGCCCGCTTTTGGCAATAAACCTTTTCATTTGTCTCTCCCTTTTCGTTCACTCGTTCATTTGTGTGTGTGTGTTTGTGTGTTTTGTTTGGTGTGTGCGTGCCAGTTGTGGTGGCAGTTCCTGTTTTTCCAGGCGCTCGAGATTCCTCGTCATTTTAGTGTTGCCGCAGGACGGCGGCAGGAAAGCAGTAGGTTTTCTCATTTGCAGTTGGTTTTTCATTAAGCCCTGGCCCTATTCTGGAAGTTACCTCTGGGACCATTCTTTGCTGTACTGTAACAGGCAAAAACATGGCATCGCCTGAACCCGGGGACACGAGCTTCAGGTGATGGAAAGGCACTTACCTTATTCACCACGGTGTGCAAGGCTTTGTCTTCTGCACCGTACTTGAGACACTGCCTAATCCAGGAGTGGATGGTCCAATCCCTCAGGTACCAGCAGTTGGGGCTGTGTCGGAATCTAGATAAAGCACAAGCACAGAGGAAATGGTGTTAGTTCTCAAGCGTGTCAGCAGTTCAAACACATATTCCACCGGGCACTGTGATGGAAAGCTGTTAACATCAGCAGTTGGTCACTCACTGCAAAGTCTGAAATGAGAATGAGAAGGCAAAAGAGTAAAAAAAAAAGGTTTACTATTAATTCTCATTTATATTTCAACACTTTTACTTTAATAAGAAACTTCAGAAAATCAATTTTGGGAAAAAGACTTTATATAGATGCCTGGTTTATTATGACAGAGATGTAAAGCTTAAGCCCATACTTGGGAAGTGAAAGAAATTCAACAAAATAGCTCAGGAGCTGAAGATGGAAATAAGCTTGAGTAATGTCGGGAATTTCTTGAGCCACCTAAGAGAAACTGGAACACTCTTCCTGGAAACAAAAGAGAACCAAGAAGAAAAGCAACAAAGGTTAAGCAAAATCTAATGATTCCATTCTCCAGGAGCCACTGTCCTGTTGCCTTCTGCTGAGCTCCATTCTGTCCTTTAGCCCACCTTTCGTCCCCACTAACTCTGCACGTGGTCATAAAAGCTCGGAGCCGCCCAAGATGGGAATAGCTGGGGCGGAAGTTGCTTCCCCTTGGTCCTGGGGACCCATGACAGAAGGCTAAGATGGGGGAGGCACTGAGGCTCTTGGACCCGGTATCAGGGTGCTCGGCGCTGAGTCCTGCTACCACCTGCAATCCACACCTGGAAGGCGTGGATGAGAACCATGTACCTGGGGCTCTGCCATCCAGATCCGAGACCCAGATGGAGCTCTTGGCTCTGCCTGGTCCAGCTAACACTGCTGTGGATACCTGAAGAATGAGCCAGGAGAAGGAAGTTACCTCTCTCTCTCCTTCTCAAACAAAAAGAGTGATGTCAGGGTGTGAGGAGCACATGTAGAGTGCGGTGCATCTACCACATTTTCTCCATCTGTGTAGATTAGGACAGCCCCCACCCCCCACAGATGACATCGTGTGGTTAGGGCAGCCCCCCACAGATGACATCGTGTGGTTAGGGCAGCCCCCCACAGATGACATCATGTGACTGGGACAGCCCCCCACAGATGACATCGTGTGTTAGGGCAGCCCCCCACAGATGACATCATGTGACTGGGACAGCACCCCACAGATGACATCATGTGACCTGGACAGCCCTCACAGATGGCATCATGTGTTAGGACAGCCCCCACAGATGACATCGTGTGTTAGGACAGTCCCCCACAGATGACATCGTGTGAGCCACAGTCCTCACTGCCATTTCCTTCAGCCACCAGGAAGCAAGACAATCGGGACTCAAAAAATCCAACTCTTCTCTCAAAAAAGATATAAGACAAAAAAATGCGAGCCGAAGGACTGTGCTGCACTGGAGCCGACACAGGCTGGCAGCACTGTCGTTTCAGGCCGCTTTTGCAATCTGCCACCTGCTGACTCGTGCCATCTGCTCTTGGGACAGAGTTTCCTTCTGAATAGGTTTTCTGCCAAAATGAAATCTGACAAAAAGAGGAAGGGAGAAATAGGTTCTAATTTAGGCTACTTGTTAACATTCTGGTGAGAGATCAGGCAAAAAGAAAAATGTGAGGCGTTTTATAGATTTCGGGCACTTTAGCCCTCTCCACCCTTAGGAGTATCTTAGGTTTGACTGGAAAATGTCTTTCATTTTGTATTTCCTTACAGAATTAGCCTTTTTAGTGAAACTACAACATACGCTCTAACCATTGCACCTTAATGTAAGATCTGCCTGGGGACCAGCACAGTGGCACTGCAAGCTAATCCTCTGTCTGAAGCACTGGCATCCCATATGGGCACTGGTTCGTGTCCTGGCTGCGTCACTATTCATCCAGTTGGCTGGTGGCCTGAAAAAGCAGCAAAGGATGGCTCAAATCCTTGGATCCTGCAGCCATTTGGGAGACCTGGAGAGAGCACCTGGCTCCTGGCTTTGGATTGGCTCCGCTCTGGCCATTGTGGCCATTTGGGAAGTGAACCCAGTAGATGGAAAACCCCTATCCTTCTGTCTCTGCCATCTCCCAAGGTGATGTGCCTCACCTGCCAGGAGGCTCCTTGGGTTTGGAGCAAGGGAAGCAATGAACAGGTCAGCAGGATTACTCAGCACCTGGCAGTTCCTGGCACAAATAAAGAAAAGGCTTCAGATCCTGTATGTACTAACTGCTGTTCTGCATGTACTGATCGCCTTGCTAATCCCTTCTGTCGACCTGAAGAACTGCAGAGCTCCGATTAGAGTCCAGAGTCACATGCCACAGAGAACAGACGCACCCATCAGTCACACAAGGCGGGGCAGGGTCAGTGCCGAAGCCAAGGCCCTTCTATGTAGAAAAGATGTTTCTGGTAATAGGGGTGGTCAAGTTTAGTCTGTTTCCTTTAAAACACTAATAGGGCAAAATGAAAAAACAAAACAAAACTGCCATGTGTCAGGCTGGGCAGAGCAGGATGCTGGCCCGATGCCGTGACAGTGGCCCCTGATTGGAACCCCTGGGCCTTAGCTCCTCAGAAAGGTCTGGAAGGTTCTACAGGAACCACCCAGGCCTCCTCTCAGCCTGCCAGCACTACAGGTAACTTCTCCCACGTGCCTACTCCCCACACCTCAGCTTGTCAGCCCAGTGCTGTTTACCTGGGTGGCTGTTTCCCTCACTCGGTCACCCTGCCGTGTGGAAGTGGTCCTGGGCTGTCCCCACCAGCGTGCTCCGTCAGACTCCCTTCCCTAATGAAGCTGCAAGTCTCTCTTAGTCTCCATCACTTCTGAACCTAATATCACATGCCTCCTCTACTCCACATCTAACCTTTATCTGGATTCTCCCCGGTGGCCACTGAAATGCCAGCTTCGCTGTCCTGATGTCCTCCTGCCTGATGTCCTTCCCGTGACACACATGGCCACATCACAGACGCCTTTTCCCTTAGAAACAGCGAAGCATTGTTAGGTTTTGATGGGAGTTTAGCTGCAGATCTTCACAGCTCAAATCAACATGTTGAAAGTTCCTGTATGGTGAGACCGGAAAGCCCTTTTTTCTAGGAATCGTTTCCTTCTCACGGCAGCCCTGGGAGAGATGTGGCAGGCCTCACAGGGGCCTTACGAAGCCCGCTCCCTGGGCAGGAATGGATGGGCTGGTCTACCTGCTACGATCTCTGTGCTCAAAGGCTATTGCCTAACACACCACTGTCATCTAACTGGCAATACTGAACCAGTTTAGGAATAACATACGTATTAGGAAATATGCTCTAAAGCGCATTTCTCAGCCAGGCAAATGGTCTCTTTTCTAAGTGCTCACAGGAGAAATTGGCACACAATATATGGTGAGTGGAGCTCTAAGAGAACTGTGCCAAAGCCCCGGGCTGCAGGGTCCATGTCTGGAGAGCAGGTGTGAGACTGACGTGCTAAGGCAGTTCAGACGGATGGTCTTGGGCCCCTCTTGAACCACTGCTCGCAGTCTGACTGGTGGATGAGTCGCTGGCATGGCCTTGCTAGTGATGACTCTGCAGAGAGCTGGCCAAGCGTTCTCCCTTCTGGCCAGGAGAAAAGCAGAGGGAGGGGCGCCGCTGTCACGCTGCCTTTTCAGTTTGCCAGCAAACAGACTGGCTTTTGTTCTCGGCTGCTCTGACCACCAGCCTGGCAGGGTACAGATGGCCACTGCAGGAGTCGCCCTGCGCCCCACGCCATCAGCTGTTTGCTCAGCTCGACACAAGCTGTATTATTGCCCAGGCCAGCAGCGAGCTGCCAAGATAGGCACACTGTGTGAGCGTGGCAGAGATAAACAAATGTACCCCAAGAACTCCACTGTGAAGGAGAAAGATACTCTGGGCTTCTAGCTTATAAAACAGGAGTAAGCTTACAATATTTCTGGTGACATGCACATTGCGTGGAGGGAAAAGAGAGATGGTGAGCTGTGGTGGAACAGCGCTCTCTCCTGAGGTCAGGTGAGGGCTATGGGGGAAGACACTGCTTGTTCGGGAGGCTCGGTCACAGCCAAGCCAATGGCAGGAAGCAAGACTTCCCCGTCTTCAAAACTCAGGCTGCACTTGGAACTCCTAGTGGCATGGGCTGTCCTGCTGCTCCTTCGAGGCCTCGCTCGGCAGAAGGAGGAAGGGCAGAATCACAGGCTGCAGGCTGACAGGCAGCCAAAGTGCCTGGGCTTTCTAGAAGGAAAGAGCGGTCACATGAGAAAACACCAGAGGCTTACTGTGATTATAGACAAGGTACCTGACTGCGCAAAAGTCCTTCGGGATTTTCTGTTTGTGACCCAGTTAATCTTTTCTCCCATCGGGTTCAAAGAAAGGTTTTGTAATTGTTGAATGGCAGCAGTGGCAATGCTCACCAGCTCTTTTATCAGCGCAAGTCAAAGTGCTAGGGGCCGAGTAGGCCTAATGCAGGTACAGATGCTGCGGCCTTGGAGCCCTAGCAGATCCACTATTTAGCTCGACACAGCTCTTCCACATGAATGAATGAGCAAGCGCTCTACGGTGCTGATCTGATTGTAAGAGCCACCAAGCCCGCCAGACACACACAGCTCCTGCTGCTTCCCAGGGTGTGCTGTAACCTGTGGCCAACAGGCTTTCCAGATGGAGGACACCTCGACCCTGGAGCTGGGTAGAGGTGGCCTTAGGGGACCGGGGTGAAGGGAGGGAAGGATGAGTGCCAAGAACTGGGAAGGTTACTAGGAGGCAAAGCTTGCAATTATCAAAAGGGTTGAAGGCATCCTCGAACCACAACCAACCGGAAGAGAGCACCTCATGAAAAACCCAACTATGATTTAATTATTGCTGCCAACTTCCTTATTCTTTTTGATAAGATTTATTTAGTTTTACTGAAAATGCAAATTTACAGAGAGAAGCAGAAACAGAGGAAGATCTTCCATCCGCTGGTTCACTCTCCAAATTGCCAGGACAGCTAGAGCTGAGCTCATCTGAAGCCAGGAGCTTCCTCCAGGTCTCTCACATGTTTGCAGGGTCCCAAGGCTTTGGGCCGTCC